TGTTAACTGATATTTAAAATTGTTTGTGTTTACCTAAAATGGTACCCAAATATCTAAAGTTTATAAAATGATATAAATATAATGAGATATACCTAATGATGAATTTTTAATTTGAAACTAGTGGTATTATACACTAATCAAATTTTTTATTAATTCATTTTTATTTTTTATTTTTATGTATATATTTTGTATTTATATATTTATTTACTCTAAATATAATGTGTTAACTCTTAAATATTTTAAACAAACCATTTTTGTAATTTTAAGTTAATTTTCTTTCTTTTCACTGCTAACATATATAAATTTAAAAAAAAAAGTAATGATGCATGGGTTCTCTATAAATTTCACAGTTAATGAAAACAAATAGTTTTTATCTAAATTTTATTTTTGACTTTTACTACTTATTTGAGGAATGCTTACTTTTTATCATTAGTTATAACTCATAATTATTTAAAATGTAATTTTATAGTACATTTATTGATCCCATTTTGTCAGAGGATGAATGAATATGTCCCCCTCACTTCTAGTATCCCTGAATTCAACACTGTCTAAAACAATACCGAATTTTAAATATTTGTAATTTAAAACCATGAATTATATTGGAACTAACTGATTATTACTGACATTATTCCTATTTTTTCTCCAAAATATCAATTTTGAAGAGCCACCTTAATGTAAATTTTGAAATTTTATATACCTCGATTGGTATTAATCACTCAGTAAAACTAATGATGAAATTTTTGTTAAATTGTTTAATATCTTTGACTTATTAACAAAATGAATCCACTTAAAATTTGATTTCCGGAAGAAAAGTTTTTAACAGACAAAAAAAAAATACACAATAAAACTAAGGCATTCATACTCAGAATCAAAAAAAAAAAAACAGTAAAACTAAAATAGGTACTAATTTTCATTGCGTATCACACAATTTAAATAGCTACCTATCTACCATATTTGTATTGTACCTGATTCAGATATTTCCTTCAATATGTGTTCAGCATATTTGGAATTTGAATATTGCATAGTGTCATAGTGACTAGAGAAGCGGTGAATTATCAAATATTTGACAGATGGTGCACTCCAACATGATTTGGTACCTCGTGACAGGGATATGTTTGGTTTTGAAGGTAGGTTAGGTTGTAAGGTTGCCAGATTTTCTAATCTTTAAACTGGGACACATCAACTGTCATTACTAATTGTCTAACAATTGTCTATTTGATTACAATACTTTACTTGAAATCATTTTCTTCAATAGATTATTGTAGCATTCCTAATGTTTTTGTAAAATGTGTTACAAGTTAAACCAAAATTGATATTATAGACCATCAGGTCTCATAGTACTATGTTTTTATTCTTCACACCCCTTACATCTGACCAAGTCCAAAATACTTTTACTTTAAGCAGCATTTTGATCAACAATATTTTTCATGTTAATGTTTTTATTTGGATGCATATTTAAAAGTAATAAACAAGTTGCCTCTGTTCAACATTTTTTTTTTACCATAGAGTATGACTTAATGAACCTCATGTTAAAATCTCAATCATTTTTGTTGGGTTTAACAATTTTATCCACAGAGTACCTACTGAATAAAAAGTATATACAAAACAGTCAAAATTAAAATTTCTATAAATTGCTTAATAATTTTACTATGTCATGAAAAGGAAAATATAGGTTTTCTGTCCAAATTTCAAGTCTACGAATAAGTATGAACATTTTTAACTGAACTACAACAAAAAACAAAATTTTAAAATTTTGATGCCATTAGATCTATGAAAAAATTAAAGAATTGGAACTAATTAACATTGAATTTAGTAATTGATTGGTACAAGAATTGACGAAATGCGATGATATAACAGCTTTACTGATAATTCCTACCTATGAATGCGAAGTAAGTAACTACTGTAATTTTTAACACACTTATTGAATCTTACTAAAATTATCTATTCTTTTAATCTGCAACAGTCAATTGTCGCCTAATTGGTTATTTTAAAAAACTTCAAAACATTGACACGTGTAGTTTGTCAACACACCAGTTACTTCAGGTAATTGATATGTTTATTATATAGTATGAACAAAATCATGGGCCTAAACAAAATAAATAATGGTAAAAAACTCATAGGTACGAAGTGCAGACTGGTCAGCCGCTTACCTAAACCTAAAAATGACCAAAATACACAAACACAAAGATAAACTAAATAAATAAATAGGTAGGTAGATAACGAAAAATTATGCACAAATTGGTAACTGCTCTGGTATTTTGGTAACACGGTAACAATAGTAAATTCAAAAAGGTTATTAAAGCCGAACTTATGTTTCGCGTATTATTTTATTGCGATTTGCTTGACCACATTCAAGTACGGCGGGCGAGCAGAGACGAAGACGACGGTATGCACCGAACCGCCGTACTGATGCCGTACGTAACATTAATGCCGATAATCTTAAAACTAACAATAATTATAATTCATAAAACTTAATCTAACTTCTAATTGCAAACTGTGCGTGTGTGTGTGTGAGGCGATCGGTGACAAATATAGGCCGCTGATTTATAATATTTCATTGATGAAAGGTACAGTGGTGCGGTACAATTGTAACAGAAACACCGATTTGTTTCTGTGTATCAAATCTGTATGAAAGTAAAAAAAAATAGTGTTATGCTTTATAGATGGTTTACCAGCCATTAACACTTGATTAATTGAATTAAATAAAACAATTGTTTATTATAGGCAATATCTTAATAGATAAAATAACATCTTTTATTTTTACCTATTTCTAAAGTAGGTAGGTACTCTAGAGAAATGGCCTTAATCATAACTCAAATTAAAATTTAAAATACCCACCTACCAAGATACATTTTCAGAACTTGATTAGGATCATCTTGTGTACATGTTAAACAAAAATTAATTTTAATAAAGAATTCAACAAACTTATCTAATCATAATTTAATACCTAATCAGATGTTTAAATGTACTTAATTTGAATACATTTTATTACGTTCGGAAGTTTTTACATATTGTTACTTGATGAATAGGTACATATATACCTACATGTATACAGTTATGAAAGTAAGAATTGTGCACGATTTATTCAATAAAGAGTTCACAGGATAAAGTTTGTTTTGCATATTCGAGACTATTTCATGGGTTAGGGAATATTTATAATGTTAAGCATATTTGTATTAAATTAAATTTTGGTAGGTAGGTATAGAAATATTTTCTAGGAAAAAAGCAATTGGTAGATTTTTGACAGTTAGATAGGCAATAAATAGACAAACCGAGGAATTACAATACAATTTTTGTTGTGTAGGCAACTATTATTGTACAAATTATTTATTATACAAATTTGGAAACCCCTGGACTTTCTTATCAAATATTGCTAGCGGAACGTACATTTATTATATATTTTTAAATTTTTGAAAATTGTTTAAGTATTTTTTATAAATTTAAAACTATTTTAAAGTTCTTTTTGGTTAATTAAGTTAAAGAAATCTACATATTTTATGACCTTTAATTATCTACAAGTGTAAAATTGTTGATTCCTTTATAGATTACTACATATTATATTCTTTGTTCTTAGGCATTAGGTATACAATTTGTATTATAGCTATTATTGCCGGATTAAATTAAACTTCAATGTTGCGCTTGTGTACATATACATTTATTTATATTGTTTTAATAGGAAATTTCAAATGAATTATGGCTAACACGTATGAAGAATTTTTCGATGAAGATGATGACTTGTTAGCTTCTGTATTAGAAGAAAATTTAAGGTAAACTGGAAATATAAATATATATTTATTTCTAAACTATATAATTTTGGTAATCATAAAATGAGAATTTAATTAATAGTAAATTTCCCATCAATAATTTAAATTTCAGACCTAACACTGAAGGTCGAACTACAACACAGTTTGGTGTAGATAAAAGAATTGGTATTCCTAATAAAAATAGCAATGAAAAAAAAGTTATTTCAACTATAGTGGATTTATGTGAATCGCCCAAGAAAAATACAACGGTACAAAGCAGATTATCTCATTTTTTTAAAAAGCCTATAAGTAATGACATGTATGAAAAAAAAGCGAATAGTGAACAAGAAAACCAAATGGATGAATCATGTTTTAAAATTAATTCTTCATCAACTGTACATAATAATGAAGACAATATTGTTAGCAGTTCGTGAGTTATTAATCTATTTTTTTTATTCTAAATATTACTCAATAAAACTAAATTATTTACATTTAATTGTTTTTTTTTTTAGTCCAGCCATTTTCCATAAAGGACAAGATGCAGAAGGGTTTCATCTATCTTCCGGCTCAAATTATGTATATCCATCAAATTATCCAGTTAGGGAATACCAAATGAATATCATTGAAACAGCATTATTTAACAATACACTAGTCAGTTTGCCAACTGGTAATTTTGTTTTATATCTACTGTAGGATGGTCCTTATTTTACCAATTATTTTCCTTTCTTTTCCCTTTAGAACACCTGCCTATTTTGTACCATATAATAAAAAAATATCATCCACGTTTGAGAATATTTGGATAATATTTTAATATTTTGTAACAAAAAAATTGTTTGAAATCATTGAACGTATTGTACAAACGACCACAGGTTGTTTAGAATAATTTTTTTAACATTAAAAACAAAAGACTTATTTTAATCCTAAGACCTTAATGTCTTTTTTGATACCATTTACATGGGGATTAGATTGATCAAGAATTTCAGAAATCATCTGAAACTAATATTTCTGTATGTAATTACCAAATATTTTTATATTAAAATAGTTTAATTTATAATATTAATACAGTACAGTTGAGTTTCAACTTAAACCTTGATTACCCAAAAAACTTGACAATTCAAACTACACATTTTTTTTTGCCTCCTTGAAATTCTTGTAAAACTCATCTTGTATGTCTCTTAAATATAAAATAGTGATAAATAGCTTAGCTGTAATAATAAATAGTTTATTAATTTCTTTGAAAATATCCCCATATATGGTAACAAAAGAAAAATTAAAATAGGCCTTTTATTTTTTTTAGTAAAAATATCAATTTTAAATGATCTGTGGCCATTAATACACTATTTTCATTGATTTCATGTAATATTTTTGATATTAAATATAAAAATGCAGTGCACCTCTACTAGATATTATTCGAATGGCCTCAAACTTTTAGAATGTATTTTTTTATTGTAGAGTACAAGATAGGTGGGTGTCCTGAAGGAAATTTTAAAGCTGGCAAAATAAGGACTACCCTAATATATGTTTATTATATATTAAATATAATGAACTTAATTAAGTATACATTATTAAATTGTATAGATTATAAATAAATTACATTAAATAGTTATAAATTAATTTTTTTTCTTAGGAATGGGAAAAACATTTATAGCAGCTGTGGTCATGTATAATTTTTATCGATGGTATCCCATTGGTAAAATAGTATTTATGGCTCCAACAAGACCTTTAGTCACTCAACAAATTGAAGCATGCCATTCAATAATGGGTTTTCCTAGAGATGTAACATTTGAAATGACTGGTTAGTAGTTTTTTTTTCGGAATGTTATAATCTATTTAAAAATCTAATATAATAATTTTAAAGAAATCATTGTTGTGTATTTTAACACAATAGCACAATAACATGAATATAATTTGTTCATAAGTCTGGTGAATGATGACAGATCTAATATCAAACATTATTATTATTTCCCTTTCGTTTGTTCTTTCTTAGGTTTTTTGAATCCTTAATCATTTCTAAATTACAGGAATACTCCAAAAGTTTTATAATTTAAAAACCCCACAATTTTAGACTAAGAATGTCAATCAACCTGCTATTTAATAAATACATTTTTTGGGCAAGTAATGCAGCTTTTAGCATTCTTTGCTAAAAGAATTAAAAAAGAAGTTTTGTTTATTATAATAAATTCTATTGATTTTAATAATATATCAAGAAATTTTGTTGGTACAAACTGGTGTAAATTTTCCCTTGAAAATCAATGAATTTGAGAAATTTTTTAGAGTAACCGGTATTAAAATTAACAAATTGTTTTACATATGTTGCAAACTATTTACACCAGTTTCTTCCCCACTCATTTCATAATAAATTACAGAAACAGATAAATGATAATAACTTAATTGATAACAATTAATATTCAAATTAATTATTAGTTATTACTTATGTGATAATAAGCGAGAAATAGAAAGTATAGGGAATAATTAATTAATATTGATAGTATTATCATTGTAATTTTTGACTATAGCGGGGATCACCGATTGGTGTAAAATAATTTGTATCAAGTGTTAATAAACCAGTACTAAGTGTATCGGTACACTAGTTTGCATTAACAAAGTTCTTGCATCTGTTACTTTTGTTTTATATTGTGCTCTAGTAAAATATTTATTTGAATATGATTAAACTGTTTAATTTGTGAATCAACGCTATTTAAATTATAAGCACTAGTGGTGTCCCACCATTGTTTGAGAATATAGGAACATAAATAACTGTTATAAATAACTTAAAATTTAAAATATCTTGTGTAACTAAAGAATTTTAAGATACTGATGATGGGGGGAAGGGTTTTTTAAATAGTTAAACATTCAGATAAATAATATTATATAATATTCTTCTTAACCACCATTAAATTGATTAATTATATAATTTGCCATTAAATATATTAATAAATAATAATAATAAAAAACTAATTTATCATGAAATTATTTTCAGGTAATATTTCCCCAGAACAAAGATATTTAGCTTGGAAGAAATACAGAGTATTTTTTCTTACACCTCAAGTTATGGTAAATGATTTGAACCTTAATAAATGTCCATCAAATATGATAAAATGTGTTATAGTTGATGAAGCACACCGTGCAACAAAAGATTATGCTTATGTTCAGGTAATTTTTTTAAATTATATAACATATAGGTAATCTATTATATTAACAATTATATTATTATAATTCCAATAGGTTTTAAAATATTTACGTAAACAAAATCAAATTTTTAGAATAGTTGGATTATCAGCCACTCCTGGTACAACAATAGAGACAGTTGTACAAGTAATACAAAATCTAAATATATCAAAATTAGAATTCAGGACAGATGAATGTCCCGATGTAATGAAATATACTAATAAAAAAGATGTACAGTGTATACCAGTTAAACTTACAAATGCTATTTTGCAAATACGTTCTCAATTTTTGGCGGTAAGTATAATTTATCATGTTAAAGTGTTTTAAAAACCTGAGAATAATGGGAAATAATAGGTATGAGTTATTATAAATATTGAAAATTACAACTATTCATTGATTTTGATAACTTCAAATACAATTTAAAGTTTTAAAATGTATAATATATGTACAATAATATTTTTTTAAAATATACTATTTTATAATTTTTTTAAATTTTTAATATTTGTATTTTTAATTTTTTGTGAGAGCAATTCAAAATTTGTTGATTTGAAGTTTGCAAAATATATTAATTTTTATTTTAATTTTTTACAGATATATGATAATTATTCAAGGCGGTTAAAACAGTATGGAGTACTTCCTGGAAACATAACTAATTTATCAAAATTTCAAGTGTGTAAACATTTTAATTTATTTTATCAATAAAATAATTTGTATATCTTCCAATTAGTGTTTAATATTTAACAATTTTTTTTTTTTAAAGTTTAATTGATTTAATATTTTAGATATTAACTGCAAAACAAAAATTTTTGACCAGTAATTTGTTTCGTGAAATGCCAAAATCTCTTGTTGGATGTTTAATTAATGATTTTACTGTTTGTATATCATTAGCTTATACCTTAGAATTATTGACTATTTATGGTATCAAAGTTTTCTATTTGCAGTCTTTAGGTAATAAAAATGAGTTCTCCAAAAATAGTCCTAAATTTATACTTTATAATATAAATTTTAATATTTAATATTTTTTTTTATTTTAATTTAGAACTTGCAGAGAATCACAAATGTTTATCGAATGATGCAACTTTTCAAAGTATTTTACACAATATAAACAAAGAATTAAATTTGCAGGTTAATTAAATGTCATTATAATTATTTTTATTCTAATTTTTAAGTTATATTTCTTATAGGATTTAACTTGGAGTCACCCCAAGCTTTCTGAATTAAAACAAATTGTTCAAAATTATTTTAGCAGTGAAGATGTACAATCAAATAGCAAGATAATAATATTCTGCCAGGTAAAATATATATTTTTTTATAAAGTCAATTATTGGAAATTTTATGATTAATTTAGTTTATAACTTTAAAGTTTAAATATTCTGTCCAATTTGATGATGATACCTAATGTTAAATATTTAAGAAATATTTGAAAACTAATATCTATTAGTTAATTTCTTCTATAAATTAATAGTACCCATTTATAAACATACAATATTATTAATTTATTATGCTATAGATGGCATTTTCATGATTTAAAATGGGTTACTGAAATTTTGGAAACATAAAACCACTTACCTTTATTTTATATACATTTTTATTTTCTATTATCGGTAATTATTATTTTTTTGTTAATATAAATCATTATAAAATCATAAAATAAATTTACATTTAAGACTTGCTTAACAATTACTGATATTTATAAATACAGAATACCATTACCTATATGATTTCAATTTAATTTCTCTTGGGATTGTTTTAATATAAATATTAAATTTTAAAGTATTTTTAAGATAACCAACTAATCTTGTTTGGTTATCAGTCATAAACTCAGTGTTAAAATTAGATAAATGTTAACAGTGAAGTGTTATCAGTTTCAAGTACCTATTGCATTAAATACCTATTGATTGTTATGTATTATTTTAACAGTATCGGTTGGTTGTAGTTGAAGTTTTTGAACTATTAAAAACTTTTGGCTCATCTGTGAAGCCTGTCATGTTTGTTGGACAATCACTCAAGGAAAAAGGAGGGTTACCTCAAAAAAAACAATTGGAGGTTAATAAAAATGAATAATTTAGTAGATAACTACATCTAGAATTATGCATTTTATTTTATGAACTAATAATTATTTTTTTGAATAGGTGATGAACCGGTTTAAACGAGGAGATTTCAATGTATTAATTGCCACCAGTGTGGCTGAAGAAGGCTTAGATATTGGTGAAGTGGATTTAATAATTTGTTTAGAAGCTAACAGGTCTCCAATCAAGTTTATACAAAGACTTGGTCGTACTGGACGGAAAAGATCTGGCAAATGTATAACTTTATTGACTGAAGGAAAAGAACAAATGGTATGAATAATATTATGTTATATGCATACAATGTGATTTAAAATATGTTACAGCTATGCAATATAAATATTAAAAATAGAGAAAAATGTATAATACAAAAATTTGTTGAGACATTTAAAATGATATTTGTGTATTTATATTATATTGGGCGTACAAATAGAAAAATGCCGTTTTTCTCATAATTTAAGGGTTTATTGTAAAAAACTCTTTACATACTCATTCTTCAAAATACTTTCCATCACTAGCCACAATTTTCTGCCATTTTTGTGGCAGCTTCTCAATTCCTCGTCGAAAAAATTGTTTGTCTTTTGACACGATCCATGAATCGATCCAATTTTTGGCTTCGGCGTAAGAACGAAAGTGCTGTTCGGCCAGGTCATGCGTCATCACTCGGAATAAGTAGAAATCAGAAGGGGCGATGTCATGGGAGTATGGCGGGTGGGGTAGTATGTCCCATTTCAAAATTTCCAGGTATGTTTTCACGACCTTGGAAGTAAGCGTTATCATGCAGAAATATTATCTTATCGTGTCTTTCCGAGTATTGCGGGCGTTTTTCCTTCAACGCTCGACTCAAACGTTTAAGTTGCGTCCGATAGAGGGCTCCTGTAATGGTTTCGCCTGGTTGCAAGAGTTCATAGCACACTACGCCAAGCTTGTCCCGCCAAATACACAGCATCAGCTTCGAGCCATGAATGTTTGGTTTCGCTGTCGAAGTCGATGAATGGCCGGGAAGCCCCTACGATTTTTTCCGCTCCGGGTTATCATAGTGTATCCACTTTCATCGCCAGTCACGATGCGATGCAAAAAACCCTTTCTGTTTTGCTGTTGGAGNCATACGGCACCCAATGTCCCAGTTTTTGGATCATTCCTAATCATTTTAAGCGATGAAAAACAGCTTGCTGAGTCACGCCCAATAAATTTGCAAGTTCCCATTGCGTTCTACAAGAATCTTCATCCAACAAAGTCTCCAATTTTGCGTCCTTAAACTTTTTCACGGGTCCGGGTCCGGGTCCTTGTCTTCTACGTCATATTCACCATTTTTAAACTTATGAAATCATCCCCGACACGTTCTTTCACTAATACAATGTTTACCATAAGTTTCTACAATCATTCCTGAGCTGCATTTTTTTTTGAATGAAATGCAAAAAGTAAAACTTCCCGCAAATGATTCTTACTCGGCTTTTCGCCATTGTCGTGAATGAACAAAACAAAGCACAGTAAAAATAGATGAGCGAGATTTTGTAGAGTTGTTGACTGATGTCTCAACTGGCTATGTATCTTATCGCACTTATCTTATCTTATCTTATGTTTCTTATTGCACTTATCGATAGATTGACCTTGCTGGTGCAACCTATGGGAAAACTGCAGTTTTCTATATGTGTAACCAATATATGTATATTTATATTTAAGTTTTTTAGGGAAGGTTTTTGGATCAATTTTGAAATTTAAATGAAAACTATCATTTTTTTGGGTAATTCAAATTTTTAATTTATTTGAAATGATGATTGTGAGTAATTTAAGTTAATAATAATTAAGCTATTGCTGTTATTAATAGTTTGGTGGAAGCACTGGATGTGCATTGTATGATAAGTGTGATGTCATTAACTATTTGTTAGCATGCAGTTAAAATAAAATTTAATTTTTAAAAAAGTAGGATATACTTCCCTTATGGGTATAACTACTGTTGTAGGTACTTATGAAAAAACTATTCTGAGTGGAATTTGATTAATAGTGTTGCTTTATCAACAATATATATTTCAAATTATGGTAAAATATTTAAATACGTATTAAATATTTTCTTTAATTTATATATTTGTTTAATATTGTACCTATTTTCCTATCTTCCACAGTTTATAGGATTAGGTACACATGTATACAACCTTATTTAGGTGTTTGAAGATGCAAATACAGCTGTTTTCACTCATTATCTGTATCATAGTTTATTAAATTTTTTTAGATTCTGAGATGAGCGAGGAATGTATTGACTTTAAAAGTATGTCTATTTATTGTTTTTTGTGAATAACTTTTCTACTAGAAATTTTCATCCTATTTTCAAGTGTAGCACTTTTTCTGAAAGGAAATCTGACTAAGGTAGTACATTGAGGAAGTTATTTTTTGATTTTCCCAGGAGTTTTTATAAAACTGTTAAATTTACATACACATATAAAAGAAAATTTACTTCTAATACATCTAATACATCTTGTACAGAAATACATTCAATTTCTTCCTTTATTTTCCCAATTTCTCACCTACAACAGTAGCCCACCCATCAATGGACAAATATGTGCATTTAGTTTTTTTATCGCCATTTTTTTCTTTATGATTATGTAATATATTTTTATATTTTAATTATTAGAATTAGTTGTATTATAATGTTAGTTGAAGATTTTTTTAAAAGAAAGTTTAATAAATGTTTTATTTAGAAATACAAGTCTAGTGTTACTTCCAGTAAAACTCTTGTATATAAAATGCTGAAAAACAATACAGTTCTTTCAAATTTAGCTCCAGAAGGACCACGATTGATTCCAAAATGTAAGGGTCATATGCTTAATTATTTTTTTTTATTTAATCAATAATATTACACTTACATACAAAACATATTACTTTATTAAAATTCAACCTCATTGATGTCAAAAATGATGTTCAAATATTATTAGATATCAAACCACAACGTTTAATGATTTATGTAAAACCACCAGAAAATTGTTTACCAAAAAATAAAAAAGGAAAATATATACACAAAGATAATAATATACTTCAATATGTTGCACCAAATAATGAGGAAGATGATGAAGAAGAAATACTAAATGTTTTCCAAAATAATAAAGGTATAAAATAAATTATTTTTAGGGCCAGTTAAGATATTTTTGAGAGCCTCTCTTGTATTTAATTAGTCAGTACCTAAGTGGTAGATTAAGTCAGTTTAAAAGATTCAACAATAGTACTCATAAGCCATAACAAACAGATGTTTTAGACATAATTAGTATAACTTCTATTCATTACTACTGAAAATCTTTAAGTAAATAATTTATGTTATTAAGATGAATTTGCATTTTTTAACATTTACATTCTTAGAAGAATATTCAGTGATTGTTATAATAATTATTTATACTTATATATTTCAGATAAACCTAAAAGAAGATTGAAAAAACGAAAAAACGATGAATTAGAGCTAAATGACAAACAAACAGAAGCTAAATCACCAACAAGTTGGTATTTTAGTAATAATTCATTTGATAATGATTTAAATGTACCAGAAAGTATAAACACACCACTTGCTATATCTGAAAGTAATTCTAATGATGAACAATGTTTCATTGCTGAGGAAAAAGTTTTTAAGGAATGGATTGAGTCATGCGAACAGTCCAATTCTGTATTACTCAATAATAATTTTTTTGAACTGTTAAATTTATTTACTGATTCATTAACAGCTGTTAATGTATATGATGGCAAATCTTTGAAGTTAAGTACTGAAAATGAACAGAATATCCAGTTTACAAAGAATGCCAATGTCAGTAGCATAGACTTAACAACTCCAAGGATTTATGAAAATGGACAGCCATTAAGAAACATGATTAATTGTGTAATGGGAGACAACATTAAGGACTCCAAAGACCTAAAAATAATAACTAACACAATAGATACTGATTTAGAAGAGTTTATTAGCAGTCAAAGAGTTGACATTGGTGAACACAATGGTATGACTAAATCGATTATTTGGGATTGTGGGCAAAAGTCGGACATGATGGATTGTAAATACAATGAAAGTAAGCTCTGTGTGGAACAAACTGATTACAAAAATAATGTATTGGAAACAATGGTAGATTTCGTTGATGATGATAATGATGGTGATAATGATGATGATGATGATGATGATGATGATGATGATGATGAGTGTGCAAAAAATATCGATTTTGGAGATATGTTTAAAAGTCAAAAAGCGGACTGTTACATTGAAGAGTGTATGAATAAAATCAGTGAGTGTACACTGTCCAATGTAAACGATAATGATGATGATGTTATTTCCATTAGCGATTCACCTGATTTTTTCACTGGTAAGTTGCCGAAAATAACAACTCCAACAAAACTAAATGACTGCTTTGGTGCTGCAGTTATTTCTACTACTACCGAAATTGAAGTTACCAATCTATGTTCACCATCGCCGCCAGATTCGGTAGTAGTCAAATCAATGAAACATGATATATCTCCAACTAATAAAAATAATTATTTGGCTTCATGTAATGGTGTTCAAAAGAATAAAAGTGCTGTAGAGTCACCACGATATGGCCATGAAGATGACAATGACATGAATTTTATGTTTCTTGATTACTTTAGTGGCAATATGGATGTTTTTACACAAAAAGAAACAGGGAGCAGAAGTAGTGCAAATGTTGAAGTTTTCACTCAAAAACAAGAGTTAGTTGGCAGTGTATGTAGCGAAGCCATCAAAGTTTCCACCCAAAAAGAAATTGCTGGCAGAAGTGGTGACAACGTTTTGGTGGAAATACCGGTGGTAGCATTGGCTTCAAAACCACAGTTTTCAGGTCAACAGCGTGTCAAAAAAGTATCATCACCAATAACCATCAAACCTTGTGTAAACACCGGTGGTGATTCATTAAAAGAGGTGCAGGAGGTGTCCATTTCGCAGTCATACAGAAACAGTTTGGTGCCGTTCAACATCATGAAAGCGTGCAATTTGTTGAAGCCGGGCTTTAGTCTCAAGCGAAGTACAGCGGCATCTACAGTGGCCAATGCGGCGGCTATAATAACTAAGGCAGCGAATAGGACAACCAAGGCATTGGAAACCGGTGTGACGACCAAAGCATCAGCAGCGGCTTTTGTGCCTGCCGTTCAGCAAGCAACCGGTCATGACGACATGTCTCCCATATACCCTTCTGGACGATGGCGGCGGCAATCGATAGTTTTCTCGCAGTCCACGCCTAAAGTTACCACAAATGCTTTGCAAGCCATTAAGCGGTCGCGAGAATCCTCCGCTACTGAAACCATATTGAATTTTTTGACGTCCAGTAGCGACGAGGACGATGAAGATGCAAAAATTTTCGTTGATGGTGATAAAACAACCATCGGCCGTCATCTTATAGCGAAGAAACGACGACAGAAACCAAAAAAGGTTAGTTTAACTTTTTTTTTCTTTCCAAAATTTTCAGCTCCTTCCCCAGAAAATTAATCTTTGCCAGCATTAAATACCTTTCAGAAACTCGTGTTCATTGACGACGAAGCAGAGGTCAGTAATTGCGGTGACCCAGCTATGGTGGCTGTTGATAGCAGTGGTACTAGTAGCTCATCCCATGATGATGAGTTCGATTCTAGTTTCATTGATGATGATCAAGACAAATCCGGACCATCCACTAGTATGACAAAACAGTATTTGCAATCAGTAAGGTATGTGTAGTGTTTGTATTCAGTTTTTTCTGAAGGGGAGGTGACAAATTTGTTTGTTAAATACTGTTTTAAGACCCTAAATCTATTTTATTTAAAGTTACTATATTCCTGATATTGTAAGGGCTTCTGCCCACTCAATTCCCTTTTAGTTTCTGTTTACATAATTGACCCTTTTAGGTCCAAATTATTAAATTTGATAATTGTTTGACCCAATTAATTTATATTAAATGAGATTAAAGGAGAAAGTTTTTTAAATATTTTTGATAAATTTCACCAAGTTGTATGTAGATATAATGACATGACATTAAATCATATTCACAGGATATGATGTTTTTTGAGGTATTATGAAATAATTTGATTTTGGGATACCTAGTATGATTTCACATATTATTTATTTAAACTAACACCCTCAACAGTTATGATTTGACATTGATAAATTATTATAAGTACTTTTATAATACTTTTAATTGTGATTTGTTTAGAAGTCCGCCAATTGCTCGAGGAGCTTTCAAGATACCAAAGTTATCAAGACAACATTATAATATTGATGTTTATTCTCAAATGGTTGACAATAGGATGGACAACAGTTATGAAGAAGTAAAACCTTTTAAACAAAATATAATAATTATATTTATAGCAATTTACATATCTATAGCGATTTTTTCGTAATTTTCTTTTTGGTTACTCACATACTGGTATTTCTAAACCATTGTAACATTATAACGGTAACATTGTTGTTATGATTTCATGCATATTACATTTTAACTGTTTTTAATTGTTACCTATATTTATACTGTATTTTAATTGATAGGATTCATTTTGTGTGCGAGATGAGTCAGACTTGTTAGAGAAACGGGTGTCCAAAAGAAAACGTATATTGACCCTGAGGAGTTCAGACAGCGATAGTCCAGACGAGTGGAACAGCAAGATGTTGCAGAAACGACCCAAAATCAAACCAACACTGGACTCTGACTATAGTTAACTATAGATTTTGGTTTAAATTTTTATTATTATTATTTATATTATTTTGTTTATTATAAAATGTCATAATTAAATTAATTTTTTACATATATATATATTTTACAACTGATTGAAAATTGTTGTGCTTTATAAAATTATACAGTTTGCACGTATTTATGTAGTGTACATACCATGTTGAAACATTTATCTACATTTCTCTCTAATATTATATTTGTTTACTCTTTTTTTATTTTATAATAAATCATTTATTTGTATAATATAAATAAAGAGCTAATACTGGGTATGGGTGGGGCCACTGTTATAGGTGGGTAATGGAGATGGTGAGATACATAAAGTTATTTAATTCATACCTGTAACCAACAATAAACTATAGATAATGAAAAACAATTCAGAGTGAGTTCGGTTATAATACTATATTATATTATATAATATATATAATATAATATAATATAATATAAATTTAATTATATAAAAGTCTAGTAGATCAAGGATTTTTTTCAGTTCAGTTGGCCAGTAGCTTGGCTTCTTGATAGAAATTATTTCAGCATTAACGGTGTTAGTTGCTTTTAATAAACTATATACTTTCTGAGTGAGAAGTCTTGATCCCCAATGGGAGTACTTAGTGTTTCAGTTTTCACAAACAATAAATTGGTCTCCTAGTTTTTGGAAAGAACAATAAATTTAATTTTGTCAACACCACCTTAGATGTGTAGTATTTCTCAATCTTGAAGTACTTAATAGTGTCTTTTATAAACTTTATCACGGGTGCAGATGCTATATTATTATATTTTTTTTTGGAATAGGTCATGCTGTAAAGTGTATTTATGAGATGAGAGCGATGTCAATATTTTCTAGGTGTAATAGGTCTTCATTTTAATTTTGAGTAATTTTTATTTGGTAGGTACTCGTGGATAAAATCGTTAGACTAAACAGAAATACATGAAAATTGAACAAGAGGTTGTTTTGAAGTCTTACTTTGTAGTTTACAAAATTTGAGTTAAATATAGTTTTTTTTTTATTTTTAAGAATTTTAATATCAAATTTAACTAAATCATTTTATTAAAAAATGATGTGGAACAAATCTATTTGTTGGTCCATAGGAATTGTTTCAGTATATATTAATACTATTAACTAAGATCCGCTCAAAATTGTTTTTCATTAACAGTGGTTTTATCATTGTTAAATATTAAATTCCCCTTTATACCGGAATTCTCATCAACACTACAATTGTCCACCCATGGTGCTATATATGTCCGTCTTTTTGTACATAGATACTATACAAAAATACAAATATAATACAAAATATTATTTTAGTCAGTAGTTACTATATATAAATTGATTATTGAATAATTATTTTATTATTTTTACTATTATTACTATTCTTTCCTTGTAATGTGGTCCAATTTTAATTGAATGTTCTTTCTTGCTGTCACATTTTCATGTATTATGTAAGTAGATAGATATTCAGTTACATTATTGACACTTACCTATAACAAAATATTTATTAACTTTATGCAACTGCTTACCTTTTAGATTTGGAGCATAGGTAGTGAGGGACTTATTAGTTTTATTATGATGTTTGTTTTCTGTTTTTGTATTTTTTTCTATCTGTGGATATTTTTTATATTAGAAAATTTGCTAAATTATATAATATTGATATTAAATAAAAATTAAAAAATCTTGTGTACAACCACACAAATGATACTCCACTACTCTTCTCCAACCCAAACTTAAAAGTAGAACATCTCTTCAACAGATTGACGGAAATCAAAAATTTCAGTACTAAAATTTGTTTTGAATAATACTCCAGTACTCCACCTATTTATGGAATTTTTAATACACATTTAATTTGATTTTGGAAAATCAAAAGTAGGTAGTGGTTTAACCCCTAAAAATAAGGGTGATAAAAATTAACATAAATATAAAATGTAAAGCAGTTTTTCTCTTAAATGTTCTAGAAAATAAATTCCGGAAAGGTTAATACTTTCCAAGATAGTGAGTGTACCCAATTAAATGGATCACCTGGTAGAACCTAAGTATATTTGGAATAAATCCGTACATATTAGAATTTGGTACCATTTAAATTAAAATAATTATTTGAAAATTAATTTTTCTGTCTCACTGTCCACCTCTCCCCTGTATTTTAAGATTTGTTAACGTGGTTTTAATTCTTTAGAAGAAAAAAACGTTTATACTTTATTCTGAAATATGAGTATTTTGGAAATTACAAAGTACCTATACAATAAAATTAAAAATACTTTACATATAATCCGATATTCGAATAACTTAAAAGACATGAGTATTATAGTCTATAATTGTTAATTAATAGTATATTAGAAATTTACACTTATTATTTAAACTGTGGATTTAGAATACAAATTTTATAAACATAAAATGTTTTTTTTATATAGATACAGATATACAGCTATCAGCTGTATTTAAGGGGTAGTTCGGAGGGGAGGGGCAATAGTCCCCCTGGTATATGTTAGAGGGCGCTAAATTTTCTCGGTGACTATAAAAAAGTTTTCGGAAAAATTATAAATTATATGAATAGTTCATACATTTTATGTACGGAGTGATCTATTTATCATAAGACACTTATTATCTCGGAAAGTATTAACTTTTTTCGGAATTTGTTTTCTAAAGAATTTAAGAAATAAGGTGCTCTACTACTTTTATGTTATTTTTGGAGGTAACACCACTATCTACTTTTGATTTTCAAAAGACAACCTATATTGTAAATTACATAAATAAATATTAGTTCATATAAATATTGGTGTAACCTAACCTTACGTAACATGCATAAAACATAGATCGCAAGTTCTTGTATAGTTAGGTATATATTATATTATGTGATTCACTGCTGGTTCACAGTCATTGGTTTTGTCGGAATTACTATCATTGATTATAAATTTATAAATATTTGTTAGACAAACGCTATGGCTATATTACGCACATAAAACAATTATTTGTGATTCATTTATGTATTAAGTATTAACTCAAATCATGTTTCAAATTTAAATTTGATTAGACTATTTTATATGATATACAATTTAAAAAACTTGGTTTGCTCAATCAAAAATTAATTTTAAAAAAAACAACGGGCATTGGGGGCTAGGGTCCTTAGAAGTTTGGGGCTGAGGCGAAATAGTCCTACTGTCCCCACTCTTAACGGCCCTACTTATATCTATCGTAGTATAGTAGTGGTACGTATTTTTCAACATCCCAGAGATAGGAAGTTCAAACTAGAGTTACAAAAATTTTTTTTTGCGAAACCACGTCGTTTAGGTTACCTAATGTAATGTGGTATTTTTTTTTCATAAGTTGTAAAATCAAATTTTGTCGAAAATCGTAAATATAACGTCCTTTCAAAACAGGTTTGTTTTAAAGGTATAAATTAAATAACTATATATTCCACCTAACCTACTACCCACCTACAACAATGGTTGCAATCGTCCTTAGTATTAGCTTTTTTTTTTTTAAATTTTCATTTAATAAATCATAAATTTTAGTATTTTATTGCCATTTACAGCTAGGAAAATTACATAGTTAAATTTACTAGGTACCTACTTCTTTAACCGCAGACAGAATATAATGAACAAATTAGCTATGTTATAAAAAGTATTGAAAATAAAATATGATCTATTATAATAACATATATTTACGCATATTTTTCAGATGTATAATACCTATTCATATTATGATGCAGATTTGGTTACTATAATAAGGGGAAATGAGGGCTTTTACATAATTTAAAACAAGAAAATAAACAGCTCATTAAAAATGGAACAAAAAACATGGAAATTGGAAATTTGTAAAAATAAATACTTAAAATAAATTAAAATTCGCAAGTAGTTTGTGATTAAACAAACGGTTGATTTTAGATTGAAAAATGACTAAACATAATAATAATAAATGATAATACAGCTAGAAATTTTGTAGACAAGTATAAAAGTTAATTATAAATGAGATTCGTAGGTAAAGTGAAAAAATGAATATAACAACGAATCTGTTTTATTATTATAAATGTATTTTTCATTAATTGCAATTCAATTAATATTACGTATAATATACATAATATAAATTATGATTCGTACACATTTAAATTATTTTAGTAAAAATGTAATTACAATTTTAATTTTTCATCTTAGTTTTTAAATATGCTTAGGAAAATTTTTAATAAACAACAAAATTTGAATCAATCATCGTCGCCCATTACGTTGCCATATCCAATTTATATGTACAATAAAACATAATATAAGTACAAGACGTGCAATAAAGAGCTGGTATATTTTAACTTTACGTGGTGGGTAGGGGGCTATAAAACGTTCAAAAATAAAATAGCCGAACAGTATTTAAGACAAAAATTATTTTATGTTGACATATTTGAGCAGATTTTACTTACAGCTTTATAGTATACTAAATATTTTAGGAAATTCGGCGCAGTGTAACGAGGTCGTAGATTTAAACAGAATATATATCAAACTCGTAATTTATGATTATTTAATTATTTGTTTATTCAAAATTCTATTAGAATCATAATTCAAAGTTTGCATTACATTATTTCAACTAGCTATTTATTCAAAATATCAATGTACAAAGACGGTTTCTAATTCACCATTTTTTTCTAGTCTACAAATTAAAATACATCAACAGTCTTCCAAAACAATAAGAAATTTACAAGTTAATAACTAATAAAGATTTGGCTAAAATGCAGCCAGTTTTAATATTTTGGTCCAACATTTTCAAAAAATTCTGGAAAACTTTGAGCAATTTATGGCTGTTTGTCATTTTTGGGTTAAAATTTGTATTTTGTATTAAGTGGATACAAATTTTTGGCTTCTAAAAAATATTGAAAATTTGAAAATATATAAAATTTGAAACAAATAAAACACATAAAAAATTTGTGTATTTTGTAGTTTTAGTGTAATATTGTTTTCAATCTAATTTTATCAAAAATATGTAAAACCGAACTTTGTTAAAAATTGTTTCTGAAATCTCCAAAATTATATTATCAATTGTTTAAATACTCTCATACTCTATATGATGCTTATAGTTGAAATGAAGTAAATGTTTTATCAAAGGCATACAAATAAATACAATAGATAATAATAGACGAAACATTTTCATAATTATTATACTACATCGATTTTAACATTTACTTTCATGTAGTTAAAATATAAATTAACTGTGAGAGTTGTGAAAAAGTCAACTGTATTAAAATGTATAAGAGAAAATATACACAATATTTATATAATCATATGTATTGTTTAGGATATTAAAAAAGACGGACATTCGCTACACTCAGAATCTAAAAAGAATACAAAAATAAACTTATAATAAATAAATAAAATGCGACGTATTATATATTTTAGAAACTTAAAACAAGATCTCCTCTATTCACTCAGTAAACAACTGCATTATTACAAATATTATAATCTACCACCATACTTCTTCTGTCTTAACAGCAACATCCTAAAAAAAAAAAACAATTTTATTAATTTTAAAAAAACTGAAAAATAATTTGATTATAATTAAGTATAACAATAAAAATATCAACACGAACAAATAAAATTGTTATAAGATTAAATTCTTTAAAGACTCTTTTAGTCATACCGGTATTTCTTGACCTGTTTATATTACATTCTATATATATATATGTATATTTTATTCTATAAGATAATAATAATAGTTCTGTTTAGCACAATATGAAATATTAAACAATATTAATGAAACGGCGTATAATTTACGCAATTTAAATTTATTACATATGCGTAAAGTTTTTATTGATAAACACTCATAAACTTTAAACAAAAACAAAGAATCCGAATGAAAAAAAAAAAAAAAACCCGAATAAAAAAAAAAAAAAAAAAATCAAAACAAAATTTCACAATATATTATCCATACATATATTATATATGAGATAAAGAAAAACGTATACAATATACGGAATAAAAGGAATCTACTGTCTCTATGCTGTAGTCAGTGGTCTGCGGTCTCCTTTGTCGTCGGTAAGTATATTATAGTGTCGTGATAACTCCTATCCGTAATGTACCTTCAGAGTCGAGCTTCTGAACTAAACGATAATTCCACAAAAGCCCGAAACTAAAGGGTATATCACGGATGCGTCACACTAAAGTCTCTAATAATCTGGTAGAATGCATATGATGGATCGCCATTGGAGTATATACACTGACTATATGACCTATGCATAAATGACTTACAAGCTGTTATATTAGACGACCGGAAATAAACGAAAAATATCGATTATACACTGTTGTCGAGGTACGTGGATATTATTAAATAGACACAGTCTAATTTAAAGTGAGAGCCAATATTGTAAGCGGTTCGGCTGCCAGTACCGAAATGCCGCGCATGGATCCGTGGGGCGGCGTCGTATACGTCCGGGACGCGGTGAGGGATGATGCCACCCGGTCGATACAGGGCGCGTGTTCGGATTGTGTCGGTGGACGCGAATTTTGGCGGCGATGGCAGTATTGATCAAGGATGCCGATGCTGCTACTGATATTAATAATTCCGGCCGACGTACGAGAGCGTGGTCGATGCGTGAAAGGTGCATGGAGGGGAGGGTAGACGGGGAATACGTAATATACGAGGTGCTGTTGCCCGGCAGCTGCTGCTGCGGTGCTCTGATTGGCCGGGAAGAAATAATTAGGATGGAAACGGTCGATGGGAGAAACGTTTGCACGAAATCTTTAGAAAAAACGCGTCTGTGTATGTGCGCAGGCAGGGACGGTTCCGAAAAAATAATAGTATCTTATTCCCCAGATTGACATTTCTCTGGTACTTTTGAGGCAACCTTATATATTTTTCGCTATATATTTACAATTTGTAAATATATTTTGACAATTTATCGCATCTGCCTCATCGCTGCCGCTTATACGCATTAAATTAGATAATTTCACTATTTCAGGCATTCAATTCAATTATAGTTAAGTTAAAATGTATTATTATAAATGAAAACCAGGATTGTAACTTATGATACAGTGTAGCATAAAATACTTATTTTACGATATATAAAACCTTAATTTTATACGTATAACCTTTGTGCTTGATCTGGGGTGAGGGGGGGGGTGGGGTGTGAGTGGACTGAGTACCTCGAGTAATTTCTTGCATATTATAGCGTACATCTACTTTTAAGTATATTAGTTGTAGAACAATTAGTGAACTAGTACAAGCAAAAAAAAGAGCTGATACTAGGCCACTGGAGACGGGTGCGGCCACTGTTGTAGGTGGGTAGTTGAGAAGGTATACATGTAACCGACGATAAACCATTGATAACGAAAAACATTTCAGAGCGAAGTTCGGTTACACATGTTTTGAAAGGCTGTAATATTTACGATTTTCGTTAAAATTTGATTTTAAAACACAAAAAAAATAAAAAACAATAAATTACACTCAATTTTATTTTTCGAAACAAAATGCATTTGTTTTTTCCTTGCAACTAACCGACGTGTTTTGAAAAAAACCGCAGGTGTGCCACCAGTTATATACAACCACTAGATTACAACACACATACTATAAAATTGACAACATTGAGTTATTTAACATCACATAATATCCGCGCAATATTAGAATTTCAAAAAGCTATGATTTCGAAACTAATTCAATTCAATCAATTCTTATTTAACATTATTCTTAAATCGGCAATAGGTACTACATATAAATACATATTAACATGTTCAAAACAAAAAAAAAAATAAAACTTCGCATGGATCAGTAAATAGATTTGTTCTACATAATATTTTACTCAAACGATTTTCGTTAAAATTTTATATTAAAATTCCTTTACAAAAAAAAAAAAAAAAATTACTGCATAAAGCTCACATTTTTTTGTCCACAAAGTATCATAGGTACATAATAAAAAACCTCCCGTTAAATTTTTAAGCATTTTTGTTTAGTCTAGTTTTGAAATCAACTGAGTTCATATATAGTTGATATAAACAAAATATTAATCTCATGATACTACCACCGAACAATGATGAAAGTGTTAATATATTTCCCCGGGTTTTTATTGTTGTTATCAATCGGTTTTAGTAAACAATTTACTAAGTGATGACTGTTAATATTTTAATAAGTTATTTTGACATTTTCTTAATATGTAGCTATAGTGTATTTGAAGTATATTTGATCAAAATGAAACGAAATAATCGAACTAATTCAAGTATATTAAATTTGTTTCCAAAAAAAAAAAAAAAAAAATTGTGTCTTCTACAAGTAGGTACTAAATGGCATGCGGTCAGGGCAAGCAAGATAAGCGCCGCATGCCCACTCAAAAATTAAAATAAATACATTTGTTTAATTCATTATGTCAACAGGCAATATGTTATTAAAATATAGGTTTTTTTATTTTGTGTATAAATATGTACTTATTAGTAATTTGTATTTCATTACCTGTATGACTACTATAATTTTATTACAACTGGTAAGAAAATCAATAAATTAAGGCTATATAAGGTGATGTTCCACTACACTTCTCTCTCCCAACCAAAACTTAGAATATCTTGTCAACGGGTTGCCGGCAATTAATATAGGTATGCAATATTTTGACAAAATCGCTCCGGATTTCGATTACCTGGCTCGTATCTAGTACAGTAAGTATGGCCGGGTGCGGTAGAGCGGGGTGACCACGATTTTACGCAGTAGTTGGAAACATTACACCCAGCGCTTATAAATGAATACTTTTAGATACCTACGCATTTTCTTATACCAAACGGTCGAAAATAATTAGATATTTTTTTTTTTTTTGTTAAACACAATTTTATAATCTTACTATTATTGTATAAATGAGACGTATACGTCCGTAACATAATGCTATCTTATCTGGTGGATAGATATCATTATTAAGTTTTAATTTAAAATAATTTTCATTTATAAAGTTACCAATGAATTTGTAAAAAAAGATAGACAAATTAATTATGTTTCTAAATAGCTAGATAAATAATGTACATTATAAAAACACTTTTTTTTTTATCTACCTAATAATTAATAATTTACCTTTATAAGTAACTTTTTTTATTTAGCGCTTAGCCAGTTTCCAATACTATCGCAATGGTACAACTCTAGCTCCTGTAATATACGTTTGTGCCTACTACGCTTTTGTTTTTTTTTATTTAACTCATGCCACTACCGTCGCGCTAGATTATGTTATATTATATTGTATAAATATAAATATTATTATCAAACATATTTCCAAAGCCGCTTTAAACATTAAAATAGTGTAAAAACAGTGTGAAATATATGATAGACATTTGCATAACTTAAATAAAACGAAGTAATATAATAATAATTAAACGTAATAATTTTTTTAAGTAAAAATGTAGAGACCCAGTTGATGAATTAACTTATGGATAATTTAAAGTGGGGTCGTCATTAGCAATACGCATAAGACGATAAATAGGGGAGTTTAATAAATATTTAGAAGAAGAAAATGGTACAAAAAATGGTGGAGTGCATCTAGAAAGATATGGTAGAACTTTAAAATTAAATTGATGAAAGAGGATAGGGCAGTCAATTAGATATTGGTATCTTTTAGAGATACCTATGCAATCGATATACTACGAAGTTTAATATAATTGTAAAATATGTTTTTTATACAGCTTTCTGAAAAATATGACTTACCACAATCAAGTCTCTGGAGCCGCCCCTGAGTTATAGAGATCTGTTATTTGGTGATCCTGTAATTATTTTGACTTTTCCATTTCTAGATTCCCGGGCAGTACTTAGTAATAATAATAAAACATTATACCTTACTACTAATTCGTACCAATAATATGTATAATTTATGACGTGTATACAATAATGTTATGTAGATACTGACAACGATTCTCATTTTGACCGCAATAGTAACAGTAATAACAGTAACGATAAATCGTTGCTAATGACAACGATTCTGAGTGAAGTTCGGTTAATATTTTGAAGTGTCGTGATTTTTACGATTTTCGTCGAAATTTGATTTCAAAATATTTATTAAAAATTAGTTAGACAGTTGTAAGCGTAGGTAAGACAGTATATACCTATTCGCTCACTCTGATGTCCCTATATAACGCTATCGGTGTTATTCCGGAAATCGAACACTGTTGATAATTAATATTATTACTAGACTAATTTTGATTACCTACCCATACTATTCAACTATACGCAACCTGGCACGTAACTAAGGGGTGGCCTGGGGTGGCCCGGCCACCTAAAATATTTACAGGCCACCCCACCATATTGTTAAAATACCCAAAGTTCAAATAATTCAATAAAAAAAGTTAAACTTGTTTACTATAATATAATTAAAAGATAACGACAACGCAAGGTACCTGTTTCTTCATAATCTCAAATTTGAATGAAAAAATAGCATCATCGCTAAACCCAGACTTTAAAATTGTATTATAAACAATATAAAGATACCTAATTAAATTAAATGAGTGCCTAAGGGGAGAAGGGGAAGTAAATGTTGGCCACCCAAGTAAAATGTTGAAGATAATTAGGCCATCTTAATTGTGTAATCCTAGTTACGTGCCCGAAACAGTGTAACGCAACAGAGCGCAGACGTTACCGGACTCCCTAGTAACCTAATTAAATATTGATCGAAACAATCGTTACAGATCGTACGCCGTCGTCGTACAATCCTGTAGGCCGTACGCCTTGGTTTTCGTCAGGGAAAACCGTGTATACAGCGAGTTATAATATTTAAACGCCTACCGCCAAATAAATCATCGTAATATACACGCATAATGTACTGTTTGAATCAAACTAATGGGAAACATAAACAAATTACATTACTTAAAACTTTGATTGTAGCGTTTATTCAAATTAAAACGGTGCGTTTGTGTGAGAAAATACGTGTACGCGGGAAGCTTAAAACAAAATGTATATTTTATTCACTACGTATGTCATATGTATACCATATGTGTATCAACGCGGTGGCGGCGAAATCGATAGTCTAGTGAGTGGATGAAGCGGAACCGATAACTATGAGTGGGAACGCATGCTTGAAAACGGATGTGTTTTCGTCCATCGCCCGGGTTGAATGGTATAATTTTAGATTCTGAGTGTGGCGATTGATTTTACAAACATGTTCATTTTTTTTGATATGAATACTTTTTCTACCAGAAAGCTTACTCCGAAGTGTACAATGTAGACCCTTTTCTAAAAGGAAATTTTCTTGGTGTGGTATTCTGAGGAGGTCATTTTTCGATTTTCCCAAGAGTTTTCCAGCAAATGTGAAAAATCTGGAAAAATATGGGAAGATCAGGAAAAACGTAGAAAAAACGGGAAAATCGGTACAATATTAAACAAACATTATTAAAGAAAATATATAATGCATTTGTAATTATTTACCGTAACATGACATATATATTGTTGAAAAAGCAACACTATCAACCGAACTCAGTTCAGAATCCTTTTTTCATTAACAATAGTTAATCGTGGCTGACAGATATACATTAAATTACCTATAACAATGGCTGCACCCGTTCTCAGACGATACCTGTTGTAATGCATTGAAGGTACTTGGATTTATCAAAGGTATCTCCTTTGAATTTAAATTGGATCGTTCATTAAGTATACTCTTTTGCTCTTTAGTCCGATTAATCTTAAGCGCCCCCTACACGATCAATAATATTGCACAATAATTGATATTGCGCAATATTATTGACAGTCTAGTATAGATATTGAAGGATTGTACAATATATTGAAGAAATCAAACTGGGTTGGAAATTTATTGCATAATACACAATATTATTGAACGTTTGAATATGTCTCTCATTGACAAAAATAGCTTCCCTCATTATCGTATTTTGTTTTTGGATATGTGGAGTAACAAGCTATAATGATAATATGATTATTATACAGTCAAGTTAATTATACTTATAAAATATAGTTAATTTCACATACTTTCAATAAATTCTCAAAAGATGTAGCATCCATTCGCAAAAAATTTCTATAGTCGTCTGGTTCAGTTATTCGTAGAAAGTTCAATAATTGTTCATGACTATATTGCTCTCTTCATTTATACCATTCTTTTATCAAACGTCTTCTTTTATTTTGTTTGATATTTTTTTGGTTTAATTCAAATGCTACCGTGATGCAAATTATTTCGGTATCGTTAAGATACATTTTTAAAACAATTATAATCTATAATTTTTAGTAGATGGTAAATGCCACTAAACTGTCACCTTTAACACAGCGTAAACAACACCTTTATGACCTGGCCAACGAATATTTCTCGACTGAATATTGGGCAATAATATTGAGAGGTTTGGGTGAAATGAATATTGAGCAAAATATTGACTCAATATTATTGATCGTTTAGAGTACGGATCTGTTATTTGGGACCTTCAATTGTATATTGACGCTCTAATGATAGAAATGGTTCAACGAACATTTTATTTCATTTACTGCTTATTTACTAAAAGTACCTTGTTCTACACATGATTACGAGCCTGTCAGTTTAGATTTAAATTTACCCAATCTTGCTGTTCGTAGACGCAACGCAAATATTTTATTTATTTTTAAGCTATTATCTAACCTAATTGACTGCTCTATCCTCTTTCATCAATTTAATTTTAAAGTTCTATCACATCTTTCTGCATTCCACCATTTTTTGTACCATTTTCTTCTTCTAATTATTTATTAAACTCCCCTATTTATCGTCTTATGCGTATTGCTAATGAAGACCCCACTTTTAATTATCCATAAGTTAATTCATCAACTGGGTCTCTACTATCTTTACTTAAAAATATTATTACGTTTAATTATTATTATATTACTTAGTTTTATTTAAGTTATGCAAATGTCTATCATATATTTCACACTGTTTTAGGAACCGGTCTGTATATTAACAAATTAAAATAAATAAAATAAAATATGAGAGGATTTAAAGATTAAGTGCGTGCTTAGAAATTTTGATTGAAATACATTTTTCAATTAAAATTGCCAAAATTCGCATATATTTTCTCTACTGATTTAAGTAATACATTTCCAACAATGATGACCGGAAAATTTGAACCTTAGTGGATTTGCCTCCCACAAAACTGGGATATAACTGTCACTGTATTTGTGTATAGTTCCGATTGAATATTATTAATTATTTTATAGATATTACACATTTATTAGTATTCATAAATACAATCATTCAGTGGAGAGATGTCAATAATATTAATGTCGGAGATCGGGTCAAGTGAAAATTTAAGACGAAGATTGTCGTCCTTAAATGGTTGTAATGAAAGCGATGGAGAAGACACAGAAGAAGTATATATTTACCTACTAAAAATAAATTATACAAATGATTGCGTGCCGAACACTAACCACGGTTCTACTATGTCGTGTTATGGTAAGTGACTGCTGCGGTAAGGAGGAGTAAGTAACAAAAAATACTTTTGTACAATTTCAAAATTTCAAAAAAACTAAACACTGGAAAAAATCTGGTTTCACTAATATCTTCAGTACATAAAAACACATCACATTCGTATAACGAAAATTTGAAAATATATTTTAAATCTAGGCAAATTGTTGTATGAAATGAACAACTTATAAGTTGGATAATTACGGCGTGGCGGTCTAATGACGTCATGCATTTTTTTTTCGATTCTCCATAGCTCATTAAATAATGTGAGTAGGAATAACGTTAAACCTAAAATTTTAAACTTAACATTTTTTCTTAGAATTAAACATTCTTTCAAATTAAAAATAGGTAACTGATTTTTTTAAGGATTTGTTGTTGAATAGCGCAAATAAAAATGTACGACAGTCCGTTTATTCCGCAAACACGGAAAGTCTCCATTATTGTTATGGTTTTTTTTTTGTCCCGTGCCCGTAAAACGACATTCAGGGTTAGAATGAATAATGACGTGGACAGAAACTGGTGTAACTAGGGGGATGCTAGAGGGTCTTTAGCAACCTAAGTTTAAAATTAGCAACTCCAAAAAAACCTTATCAACGACTAAATATTTTATCCATATTATATTTCATTGTTAATAAATAGTTCGAAATATATTTTTCCTACCGACAATGCATGTATGTAAAAAATAATATTAAAATAGTTATGATAAATTTGTACATCCGAAATTGTAAATGAAAAGTGTAGTTGACTATTGTAAGAGTCGTATAAAGAGGATATAAGGATATAGCCACCTTGGGCTTTTGATGTGTCCATAATTTAGTACCCCAAAGTTGGTGGTCTAGTTGTGCCTATGCGGACGAGAGGGAAGCAAAATACCACTGTCGCCGAGCCGACCAAGTATCTATATTATTAGTGCGCAAGGTTTTTATTTGTATTTTTTTTCGCTTTTAATCGATTAATTTATCAATTATATATACATGTATATGTATGGCAGTCATACATTATACTCACTAGGGTGTTTCAACATTTTTTTTCTCAGATGTTCTTCTTCTCATAGTATTGTGTTCCTTAGAGTTTAATAATGTTCCCAAATTTTTTCAGATTTTTTCAGATTTATTAAGTGCGCGAGCATCGTTTTTAGGAAAAAGTTGAGTTTTTTGTTTTTATTTGTTAGATGTGTAAATAATAACTTTTAAGGAGAAATCATTAGATCACAAATTATTAGAAGAAAAAAACAAATATACAACTTAATATTTTTTCAAATTAAAGAATCTAAATTTTACCTCTTGTTTAGACCTTTAAAAGTCAATTTTTGGATAATTTTGATAAAACAACCCTTTTAACCACCCTTAAATATATTTTTTAGGGGTTGCAAATATGTTTAACTTATTCTCCATTTAATTACCAAGAGACAGTTATTATGGAAGAGTATTGGGTAAGTACGAAAAAAAAGAAATTCTTTATCAGTTTAATTATATGGATAAAAAATTTATAAATATGATATATACAATAAACATAACAGACATAATAATATTATTATGCAATAGTCTCTATTTTCGATCAAAATTCGAAAAATAAAAACTTAAATAAAAGTATAATCAAATTTTATTTAAACATTGATCAAACATACTTTATAACTAAGTACAGATTATAATAACGATTCACAATTACATAAAAAAGAAATATTATTATTTATTTTTATAATAAATAAAATAAGCAATAAAGACAAACATTTTATGCAATAAACAATGATTTAATGCAATTATTTTATAGTATCAAATCCCTAAGCTAGACATTAACAGATCGAAAAGTTAATTTTAACTTTCACTTAGCTTTTTGAACATATGATTAATTTTTTTTTCTTATATTTAATTTTAATTTTTTGTTTACATAAGAATAAATAACGAATTAAATTTGAACTTCACGACCACGTTAAGTTACTTATAACACATATAACACATATAGAATACACACATTTAGATAGTATAGGTAGTATATAAATGGTGTAAATAGTATATAATGGTTGTAAGGACCAGTTATGAATATTCATAGTTGATCATAAATAGTAATTGTAATAGAAGTTTAAAATTGAATAAATTTGTATTATTATGGTGTATATATATATATATACACACATAAATATATTTATTTTTTATAAACCAAAGCAAAATGCACACACTCAAAAATGTTAATATATTTTTTAAAAAACTGACTTGATAGCTAATACTGACAGTGATTGTTGATAATACTGACTTCTAACTAGTAATGATAATAAAAAGTTTTCCCTTAATATGGACTGAAAAAGATTATTGATAGTGACGAGTAGGATGCAGGTTATGATAACAATAGATGGGCAGGACCATCATATTGTAAGGAGGTTGTACGCCATTACGGTATTGTCCTGTTGGAACAATGGTGGATTGTATGTTGGGACGAGCTTCCATTGGCAAATTATTTGAATTCCGATTTAAATTGGAAGAGGTTTCTGATAAATTTACAGGATACACAGTATCTCTAACTTCAGATACACATTTCAAAATTCTGATTTTAGCATCAGCCATTGCCACATTACAAAAATCTTTCATATCCACCATAACGCTTTTCAGAAATAATTCCGTCGATTTAGTGGTCTCCGGTTTAATGTTAAGCATCGAATTATTCAAAATTATATTTTCTTCGATTGAAGAAAAAGAAGCCGGAGAATCGGATGATATATCTGAATTTAAATATAATCCTTTGACATCGGATACACAGTTTAAAATTTTAAGTTTCACATCGTCAATAGCCTGAGGACAGAATTTGTCCAGATCTGCTAAAACGCTTTTAAAAAATAAATCTAATGATTTAACGGTTTCTATTTTTTCGTTAATCATTTCAAATTGTTTTAACAAGTTGTACATTTTATTTATTTCGTTTAATTGTTTTAATTGAGCAGAACTCATTGTAACGTTTGAAGGCACTGCGTCTGATGTAGATGGTTGAGGACGTTGAGATGTTGTCTGTTCATATTTATCTTCAACCTTGACGTTGTTGCAATCCTCAAATTGTCCCTTTTCCTTGTCAATTTTAATGTTTAAAGTGGCTCTAGAAATTTGTTTGATAATAATATTTATATAAATACAATATAATATAACATAATCTAGTGCGATGGTAGTGGCATGAGCTAAATAAAAATAAAACAATAGCGTATTAGCAAAAAACGTAGCAAGAGTTGTACCATTGAAAAACCGTGCTAATTCTTGTTAATCCATTGGCCAACTCTACAGGGCAAATGGCTGAACATATAAGACCATAAAGGTATCAAAAGATCAGAAATATTGTACAGATGGAAACAGGGGAACTTGCAAGCAGATTGGTTAGTTTGATTAAAAGTTAAAAGTTAAAATGTTCAAGTACTTTCAAGTCTGATTTTTCGTATTCGACAAAAATATAGTAAAATATCTACTCTCGTTGTTGCGACATCGACGACCACAAGTGACGACGACGCTGAACCCTCCGTTATTAGTTTTAATATTTAACGACCAGTTTCGAATTCAAAATTCATCTTAAAATTTAAAAAGAAAAATAATATTGTGACTTTTTTTTATAAAAAATAGCTGATATCACACCGAAAGTACTTCATTATACTTCCGTGCACAAAAAAAACTAAGTTTAAAAAAAAAATCATGTAGTGACATTACATTTAATAATGATTAAACCTTTAAAAGACGTGATATAATATGGAAACTAAGTAAAATGCCATTGTGTATTATTACAAATACCTATAATAATAAATAAGATTAATTGTAAAGTTAAACACTTAGTTAAGATATTGTTTACTTGGTAAGACGTGTAAGTAAATAAAAAGAATTAATCACCATAATAAATTTCTTAAATTAATTAATAATTTATAAACAATGACACGTCTGATCAAGTAAACAATATGTTAACTAAGTGTTTAACTTTTTAATTAATCTTATTTATCATTATAGGTATTTGTAATATTACACAATGGCATTTTACTTAGTTTACATATTATATCACGTCTTTTAAAGGTTTAATCATTATTAAATGTAATGTCACTACATGATTTTTTTTTTAAACTTAATTTTTTTTGTGCACGGAAGTATAATGAAGTACTTTCGGTATGATATAATATACAATAGTGGAAGAGATAATTTTTCTCTTTCTAAATTGAAATAATAATTGTTAGGTGACATTTTACCAATTTCTTGGCAATCACTGATTGAAATGACTGGATGAAGTAAAACGATGTAATTTAAAAACAAATTTTAATTTAGCGTAGCATGTATATAGATGAGAATTAGAGATGATCATGCCACCTTATTCAATTTAGTTTTAGATATTTTATTTTTAGATTTGGAGCATATCACGGGATCTATTAGTTTTAATATGATATGTGTTTTTTTTTCATTTTTTTTTTCTGTCTGTAAACAACTTGCTAAAAATAAATCTAGCTGCGATGTATAAAGTAGAGTAGGTACCTTTCTTGAAAGGAAATTTTGTTTAGTTGGTGAATTAAACAGGTCAGTTTTTGATTTTCTAAGGGGTTTTTAAAACAATTGTGAAAAATTGGAAACAAAATTATAGTTATAATTTAAAATTATAGTTCCGTTTTCTACCAGAAATATTGCTCTAATAGAAAAACGGCAAGAGGTCTTTTTTGTTAAATTTTTAATCTAGTTTTTAGCCAAGAGAATTGTTTTTTAATTTTCGCTGTAATTTTTTTAAATAATTAACCAATAACCAAAAAATACATAGAAAAAACGCGGAAATTTACGAAAATAATTCTTTTATTTTTTAAACTATGTATTTTTTTTTTTTTTATGTAATTTTATTAAAAATATTTGTAAAGACTTTCTATTTGATAGAGAACTTTTTTTTTTTATTGAAACATTTTAAATTAGTTAAAACAATTAATAATCAGCTAAGAAATAATGGTTAAAATAATGAAAAAACAAAATATTAAATATTAAATTACAAAACCAGTCTGATTATATGAAAGAATTAATAAAATGATAGGATAATTATGTGGAGAAAGAATCAATTGCACATTGAAGGAGGAATTATAGGAATTGACTAAGGCAGATAGAAACATATGTTTGTTTTTTCTAGACGTGGTAACGTTTTCAAAACATTTGCTCCATTTTAAGCTATTTACAGGCATTTAAATTTTGTGAGTTCTTTAAGTAATTTTTATTTAGTAGTTACTTTGTGGATAAAATTGTTAGAATGTGTTGATTGTAAATTGTTAGAACAGAAATGCTTAAAAATTTGACAGGAGGTTCATTTTAAGTAGTACTTAGTGGTCAAAAATGAAAAAATCGAGGGTAATATAGTATTTTTTTTTAAAGTTTTAAAATTAAATGTTGAATGTATATATATGTTGTAAAAATAATGGTCTTTTAAAACATATTTTAGCTCCGTTTCGTTTTTCGGTAGCAATGGTTTATCGTTGCTATAAATTAAATAATTGTATGTATATCACCTTCTTAAATACCCACTTCAACAGTGGCCACTCCTTCTCTGTTCTTTTTTTTGTTTTAAAATTATAAAATCAAATATTTTAAAAATATGAATTATAATGGTAAAAAGTTGCCAATGACTAATTTTATATGCATTATGTTGAAATCAAATCTGTTCAGAATTATTACCGCTTCTCTACTTTATGTAGTATAAAATCTGGAACGTAAAATTTTGATTTCATTTGGGCACAACTTTATCTGTTAGGCACAATTTGTTTCGGTGGGAACTTTTTGATTCAGTTAGAAAATTTAATGTTTACAAAATGGATCGATATATCAACCAAAAAAAAAAAAAAAAATTATTTGTTTTCAATGGAAATATCCCCCTTGGATTAAAATTTTACCTTATCTAAAATCCTAAGTAACAACAAACAAATACTAAATGAAATATGAGATAGGTACATATAATAATACGCTATAAGCGCTAGCATAAAAGATTGATTAATTAGCCTTAACTGTAGAAGTAGTTTCCCTAGCATTTTTGCTTTTGAATTCTCCAAAAAAAAATTATAAATTTTACCTTTATTTGAACGAATTTGTTCATTGATATACCTCCGACTATTTTTCTAAAAGCAACATTAGCCAAACAAGATTGTTTAATTAAATCAGGTTAATGGTAGTGTATAGTTTGATGTAGCTATCATTATATTAAATTAATTTATAAATTAAACAATGTGGGATAAATAAATACAATATTAAATTATTATTAACTCACTTATCTTTATTCTGAATTTTGATCGTAAATGATGCATTATTGTCTGACAACGAATTCATTTCTTTTATATCTTTGGCCAAATCAATCGCAGTTTGATCTTCTGCATGTGCATGATTTTTAATATGAGAACCAGACGGTGGTGTATTATTTTCTGTCCGTAATGCCAGTATATCATTATGAGAAGCATTATCATTAGAGCGGTGTTCTTCGAGCTCGTTTTCTTTAGTTCCTTTATTTGAAACACTTGAATTGACCCTAAAAGTTTTAGGTAATAACTCATTTTAGTATAGTGACATGCCATACTATTTGGTAAAGCAGAGATACGAGTGTCAAGTCATTTATTAAGAAAGCCCTTTAATTAAGTAAAAAAAAAAAGCTGTCTTAGGATAATAGAGACGGGTGCAGCCACTATTATAAGTAATTTCATGTATACTTAATAAAAATATGTAAACAATGATAAATCATTGCTAACGGAAAAACGATTCTAAGCGGAGTTCAGTTGATAGTGATGCTTTTTGAACAATATATATATCATATAATGGTAAAATAATTAAATTTGCATTATATATTTTCTTTTTTAATATTTGTTTAATATTGTACCGATTTTCCCGTTTTTCCTACGTTTTTTCCGGTTATTTACATTTGTTGGGAAAACTCTTGGGAAAATCAAAAAATGACCTCCTTAAAGTATCTCCCCATATTGAGGGGAGGTACTTTAGCTTCCCTATACTTAAAAATCGGAGCAAGATTTTTGGTAGAAAAGTTGCACACACAGATTAAAAAAAATAAATAAATAAACATCTTAGTAGAACCATAACCTCCAATCATAATCTAAAAAGGATTTTCGAATTATTATTATTATAATATTATTAAACACAATAGGTATTTTAAAAGAGTAATTTTTTCAAATTTCTCAGTTCAACGATCTAAAACCTAGAAAAACTTGAAAAATCGTAGAAATGAATTAGCATCAATATTTTTTGCAATTCTAAGTTGTACTTAGAATCATTTTTCAAATATAGTACTTAAATGATTTCTAAACTCTAATGTTCAAACTTACTTTTGATTTAAATAATCTCCGTCCAGAAATGTTACATAATCATGTATGGGCCAGTAGTTAGATGATTTGCCTGTGGACTCCAAATTTAATTTATTCTTAATATACGATGCCTTAATATTTCTCCATCTCTTTTTGCATTGATTAACTTATAACATTATAAAATACAGTTAATTAATAAATGACGATGCATAGTAGGTACTTATAGGTAAAAATTTCATATTCGAGGTTATCAAATTGGTTAAATTTTATAATTCTATTTTAATTAAATATTTATTGAACATGTTAAGCGCCTCGTAGTATGTAACGTGCGTTGCCCGTGAATCTGCAGAAAATTTATTCCACGATTACGTCAGTCGACTACGTTAACTTATAAAAGTTTTGTTTTGTACAGTGGAATAGTATAGGTTATTTTTTATAAGCGAATGCTATGCCATAAAAGCAGTGTTAAAATTAACAAACTAAAAAAATTAAAAAACTTGTAGCTCAGTATAGCATGTGGTATTTTAAAAATTGCTATGGTCTGTTAAAATTATTGCAAAAAGTAAATAGATATAAGAAAACTAATTTTTCTCGACTCTCCGAACTAAAATTGATAAGAATTTTTTTCCCTTGATGTCATATGAAAATATAGATGATCAATTAGTTTTATCATCTTTCTATACTGTATACAATAATTAAGATTTTGAAACTGGTTTTTTTTTTCAATAACTATGGTAAAAGTGAAAAGATAATAACACTTGATACGGTTAAGATTATTTGAATATATTTTTTTAAGCTAACCTCCCAAAAAAAATTAATGACAAAAATATGGTGTATTATAAAGTACGTGGTTGTTTTTTGGGTCCCTTTGTGATTTGGTCCCAGTGATTTGGTTGTCATAGAATGGTAATTTGACTTTTTTAATTTTGTAACACTGATAAAAGTAATAATTTTCGTAAAATAATAAAATTACATAAATATATTATGCTCATATAATAATAATTTTATAATACTTCTACGTTATATAGTCATGTTTTACAAACAAACGATATTCTAAGTAAATTGGGAGAACAAAATAACACCGCCGCTTTTACTATGGGTGGCGGTTTCCTCACAAGACCTTTGTGGGACTCATATTTTGATAATACACAGATTATGATGTAACGAAATAATGAAATATCTATTTTTTTCGTGGACTGTAGAAAAGATATGAGACTGGTATATAATAGTGCAATGCTGGATTGAACATTTATTATAAATACTATATGTACCTATATATGATGTATACAATTAAATTCGAATGGTAAGATACATATACAAATAATTAACTATAGGAGGAATCAATTAAAGACTAACCCATTAGTTCAAATATTAACAAAATGTTCAAATTTAATTCAATACCTTGTTTTTAATAACCGAAAATATTTAAATTATACAAAAATTTCATTAAAAAAAACTGTTTTACGTTTATTCACATATATTCGGTGTTTAATAATCCCACATCGGATAGTTATTTTTTTTTTTACCAGACCACGTTTCGTTAGATTGTTTATCCAATAGTATAAAATTATTTTCAGATAAGGCTGTCCTGACAGTCGGACAGGGCCTGCCCTTTTCTCGAAGATAAGAATCCGAAGATAACAAAATCTGATTCAGGTACAACAACTTAGAAAACTAAATTCTCGGCAAATTATTATCATTTTTATCTATTAAGATGCTCATATACTACAGCGTTTGCGGTTGATGGTAATGGTAGCGATATAGTAAACTACCGCCATGTTCACACTACTGCGATGGCGGTAACGGTTTATTACAGTCTTGTATACAGGAGGGGGGGGGGGTTGGTATAAAGTTGTTAGTGCCCGATGGAAAAGTTGAGCAATTGTAATATGGTTTGCTTTTTCTAAAGCCTCGGAATGAAGTAAACATATTTGACTTGGTCGTTCTATTTCTAATGTACCGACAATTACATTCGCTACATAGCGTCCCTCACTATCAGTGGTTTTGTCGATTAAAACCCAGATATTATGATCCCCAATTGAACATATTCTTATGTTGATACTATTTTCAGTGTCATTGTTGCTAAACGAGACTCGTACAGTTATACAATTATATAAATTGTAAAAATGGTATTACAAATATATACAAATACAAATACAGTAAAAATATTTTCATACAAATTGAGTACTAAAATATAACGTAGTCAAACTCAATTATACTTAATTTTTAACTAAGGCTGGGGCTGAAGTTGCATCATCCTGGCTTTACATATAGTTTTATTAGGATAATGTGAAAACCAAGGGCATACAAAATTTTAAAACTGACTTATAAATTCATACAAATTACATACTAAATATCTGTGTAAAAATGTTTTCAAAATTCCAAATGGGTGGGGCTTGAGTGATGTAGATTAACATCTCGTGTATCATCGATGATAACCGTTTCCTGGGAAAAAAACCTTATAGTTTCGCTAAAAATAGACGAAAATTCAAAACAGATACACAATTTCAAAGAAGTTCATTGAATATCCACGTGGAAAAATATAAGCATTAATACCCGATTACCCGAGTAATTTATTCCGACAATAATTGTAATAACATAATAATGTTATAAAACAAATAGAAACATTTTTACATTAATATTAATTTTTCCACCTTTTTTTTGAGAGCGAAACCATTATCCACTTTTGATTTTTAAATAGCAACTTACATTAAAAATTCTATAAATAGAGAAGTATTAATTTAAATACATAATTGGTGATACATTTTTAATTTCCATTAACTCATTAATGAGATATTTTACTTTTAAAATTGGGTAGGTCAGGAGTAGTGGCGCATAATTTCAATGGTGGTGACGTAGGGAACGTGGTGTTTAAATATTGCTCCACTAAAACTAGTGGCGAAAAGGAAAAATTACAATACGATTGTATTTAAACTAAAAGTTCATGTATTTATGGAATGTTTAATATAGGTTGGTACCTATTTGAAAACCAAAATTGAGTATTTATTTTACTCCCTCCCCTCAAAAAAGGGGTGCAAAAACCACGGTTATAAAGTATTTTAGAGCTGTTTGTTTTTAAATAGTAAAAAAAAAATTCCGAAAAAAGTTAAGACATCTACAGATGTGGAGTGTCTTATCAATGATTGATCGTTCTGTAAATACACTTAATAACCCTAAGGGATAAAGATGTAATGATATGCTATTTAAGCTATCATACATTATGTAAAATAAAATATTATGTAATGTAAGAAATAAATCAAACAATTAATAGCGGAAATGATAGTTAAACATTTACATCCGATTCTTTTTTCTTATCAAATAACATATATTTTAGTGCGATATTTACTCATCGTAAGGAGATAACACTTAAGCTATCATATATAATTAAAATAAATTATATAATCAATATTGTAAAATAATTATAATAATTTGTAGCCATTAATTATTAGATTAAGTTGTTAATATTAACCAGATTAAGATAACACATTTACACACGCAAACACACATANCTTTTGGACAGATGATCACAAGCGAGTGTAAAAGACTACGCAGAGATTCTTACAAAAGCACGGGAACCTAGAACAGTGTTTTATATTTAAAAAAATAACAAAAAAGAAACAGTTGTTATGTTAAAAATCTTTTTATTTGCTACGGTCACCTTTATCAAATTCAACAGATCAATTTGCCGCCTGAAGAAGAAAGGTAATCAAATTTATAATTAACTTACACGTGTGAATCAATTTTATATAATTAGGCTAAACCTCCCCACCTTATTTTTGAATTACAACAAAGAGTAAAGGAAATTTTGAATTTAACAACGTAAGTAGTTCTTTATAAATGAATGTACTTGAATTTATTATTTATTTGTATTTCAAGTCTAAATTGAATTTTTTTATTTATTTTTTTTAAGTAGTTAACTAAGTTTTCTGTTTGTCTATTTGAACCTCTAAATAAAATGTAAGTGGCATCAACATATCTATAATATGCTTTTTATATATGGACTATATATTTTGTTGTTAATAATATTATGATTTCATAATTTTGCATGTGAATTTTAGATAAAAGAGCACTTTAAAGGTCCATCCATAACTAACCCTTCTTTTTGCGAATACAGTTTATTATTATATTGTCAATAGTTTAGATTAATAATTAAATTTATTAATTGAATAATATCCTGTACTTCATTTGTATTGAATTTATTACTTCGTAGAAGTTTTTTTCTTTTTAATTTACTCTTTCGTATTTAGAAATAGATGTATATAAATTTTTGACCTTAAGAGAAATCATTTTTAATCTGGCTCAATATTCATTTTTTAATGAAGTTTTTTTTTCTTATAGAATTATTACTATTTAATATTCATGTTTAATTTTTATTTTATAATAGAGTCCAAATATTAAGTAAGGTTATATGATTGAGTAATTTTAAAGTTAATTACTGGAAGAATCGGATTACATTGTTTATGCAATTTCCTGAATGGATGTAAGTGTGGAGTCTCTTTTTTGTAAATAGATTTTAAGAAAATTTTGATGGCATGGATATTTTGGGTTTTATTTCTTTTGAATTTGTTATCAGTTTATTAATGTATTTAGTGTAAATTATAATTGGGTCATACATTAAACTTTGAATATAATTATTATTTATAAAATCTAAAGTTTTTTTTTATGAATTTCATTAGTGTAAATGATTAAAATAGCATTAGATCTATTGGAATCTCTGAATCTATTAATATCTAGTGGAATTATTTCTGAATTATTTGTTTTTAATTTATTAAAGGACACAAAGGATACCTAAGGACACAAATTCTTAGGAAAGAGTTTTGGATTCAGCATAAAGTTCAGCAAAATCCGTGCCTAAGTTACATAATATTTATGTGATAGACAAACTATCAAGAAGCAATGAAGAAATCAAAACAGTAAAGTATTGTTTAGAAATGGATAATTTTGAAAAACTTTGATAAATTACAGATTAATATATTGGAGTACTGTCTTTATTACTTAATTGTGTGTGTATAATAATATCCTATTATGGGATTCTAGGATAGTTATACCAGCAAGATTAAAGGGTCAAATGTTGCAACTGGCTCATAAGAGGCATCCAGGGATTGTTTCGATAAAATATCATCTGTGTATGAAAATTTAGTTGCCAAATATGGATAAACATGTAGAAAGAGACGACCTAGGATAATAGAGTTGGGTGCAGCTAATTTATCATATATCTGTAAGCCGTTTGTTGGGAAAGTTGAATAATCTCCATGTAAGGGCTGGGGTAATCGAAACGTCAAACATATAATACTCATAATTTATTAAACAAAAAGCTATTCTAGGATAATGAGAACGGGTGCAAAGGGTGAGGACTGTTGTTAGTGAAATGTTGTGAAGGTAGGATATAGAGGAGAAATTAATTTGTATCTGTAAGCAATGATAGAACAACGAAAAAACGATTCTGAGTAGAGTTCAGTCGATAGAGATCCTTTGTCAACAATATTTATGCCATATTATGGTAATATAATTAAATAGGCATTATATATTTTCTTTAATAATATTTGTTTGTATTGTACCGATTTTCCTACGTTTTTTTTGATTTTCCACATTTTTTGGGAAAAATCCTGAGAGAATTGAAAAATGATCTGTTTAAAGTACCTTTCCAGTTAGATTTTCTTTCAGAAAAGGTGCTACCCTTAAAAATTGGAACTAGATTTCTGGTTGAAAAGTTGCACACGGTAAAAAACAAAAAAAAATAAACATCTTTGTAAAACCATACGCTTCTTCATTCCACTCAGAATCTAAAATATGTTAGTCATGTGTGCAAATTAGTGGTATTGCCAGACCATCCACCACATATATAACAAAAAATTTTACCTGAAGGCTTATGTTACGGTCAGTTACAACGTAACATATGAGTACTATGCTTAGCTTATATTATTTTTCACACAAATATAACAGTATTAAGCTAAGCGTCCACTAGGGCGGAATATCGGCCTGGTGCACCAAAACAAAATGCATATAAATAAATACAGATCCGACTACTGGCAAGTATTATTTATGTGGCAGTACGGCGCTCGGCATTTCAATAATGCACCACCAATTTCCCCCAATCTAAACTTAAAAGGGGAATATCTGGATTGACGGAAATCAAACATTTCAACACAAAAATATATTTAAAAAAATACTCCATCTATTTATGGAATTTTCAACATAGATTGCCATTTGAATATCAAAAGTAGGTAGTGGTTTTACCTCCAAAAATAAGGGTGACGAAAAAATTACATAAATATAAAATTGTAGAATAGCTAATTTCTTAAATATTCTAGAAAACAAATTCCGGAAAAAGTTAATACTTTCAGTGATAATGAGTGTCTTACGATAGAGATTGATTACCCTATAAATATACCTTGTCAATTATAATGTATATTCTATTATCAATGTAGTCAATATCATGTAGCTTATAAATATATTTATATATTTAATATTAATATATTTATTTTGCCTAAGTGACAATTGGCGCTGGACATCATAATTGTATACATAGACGGCTTTCTAGTTTTTGTATATAATATCTGCGCATATACCTTTACTAATATAAGTTGATAAAACTGATAATAAAATTAATTATATTATAAATAAATGATAAACGTTGTTCCCATAATCCGTCGCACCAGGCCGCACTTAATGGACGAACGTCACTCATGTAATCCGGGTCGTGAGCGCCGATAGTCTGCCCTAGTGGACGCTCTGCTTTAATACCAGTGATGCACACATAGGGGGGGGGTGGTAAGGGAGTTATAACCCCCTCCGAAATGTATTCCTTCACTATATTTTAGATTCTGAATGGAACGAGGAATATATTGGTTTTACAATGATGTTTATTATTATTTTTTTAATGTGAACACTTTTTTTACCAGAAAGCATACTCCGATTATCAAGTACAGCACATTTTCTGAAAGGAAATTTTCTAGTAAATGGAAATTATAAATTTCAATACCAACAGTTATTTTAACTGTAATACTCCAACTATTTATGACATTTTCCATATGGGTTGCCGTATAAAAATCAAAAGTAGGTAGTCGTTTCATTTCCAAAAATAAGGGTGACAAAAAAAATGATAATGTAACATTTTAGAACTATTTATTTCTTAAGTTTCAAAAAACAATTTAAAATAGTCAATGCTATTTGAAATTTTAAGTGTTTAACGATAAAAGAATCATCCGGTATATTAGAAATTGTACACGTACAAAGTTTATTTATGTATAAGCATTAGCACAATGAATAAAAATTATAATCGAATTTTTGTTGAAAATAAAGCAGCAGCTTAAGGATTATAAAAACGTAATAAGTTAAAATAAAAGCCTCCCACGTATGTCACCGATAATCCGCCAGAATAATGCGATTTCCAATAAAATTAGATTATAATATTACAGCTATATCTTGATTGATGAATTAAATATTTAACATCTGGTGACAGTCCGGTTACAAAATTATTATTAAGAATAATATCTTAATCTCGTATATCTCCACTGTATGCTGTGTAGTTCATTAATTTGAAAAAAAAAAACTGTTTTTATTGTTATTTGACGAAAAATCCTATATTTAACCATGACAATTATGATCGTCATTTATTTATTTTCAGAAACAAACACCGTTGCCAACCTCGGTACTTAAATAAGTCCCGTAACACCTACGGGTCTAATAGGTATACAGTATAATTTTATTAGGTGTATAAATACCTAATAAAATAACATTTACCATCTATCCTTTTTTTTTTTTTATAACTTTTTTTAAATTTAATTAATTATACTAGTGTCTAAAGTCTAGTGAATTGAAAATTATTGATTCGCTGAGAAGGTTCGGTACCGAAAAATGTAATAATATTTCTTTAAATAAAAATTATTTGTTATTTTGTACTCGTTTTTTTTTGCAATGCTAGATAATCAAATGAATAATATTAAAATAACTGTGCGTGTAATGAGTACGCCCGGTTGAAGTGAAACTCCTACAAGAGTATTCAAGTGGTAAATGAATATTAGGTTCGTATTGGAATAAAATAAAATCCAATTGAAAATAAGTTTAATTTATTATTGATATTATTTATTTTCTTACTCTATTGTCACGAAGGATGTATAAGGGTGTATAAGTGCTTATGATAACTGAAATAGCCATTGATTTTATGACATTTTTATTTATATTGTGTGTGTGCAGCACTAAAGTAGTAAAAATAGCAGAGGGTATACTATAATCTACTAATCTACAGTAAATTATTGTTTCATGGTCCGGATATTTAGATATATATTTTATTTCTGTTTTCGTAATCAAAAAAAAAAAATTAAAATAATAATACCTATATATAATTGTATATTATGTATTGTGATTTCACTGTAACAGAGAGTATACGACCATAACCAGAAGGTATACGGTGTTTATAGGTAATGATCAGAAGGTTTACGGCGTATACCGCCGTATATTTTCCATTACAAAACTCCGAATTTCGGATAGCTCGAAAATTCGAATTCTTGGATTTTAATCTGATTGCATTCACTCGCAGTGTCACTGGTGTGTGTGAGTGTGTTAACAGCTAATGACGTGGTTTTAATCCTGATAGACTTAATTTGCTCAGGATACGTTATTATCTGCATTCACATAAGTAATGTGTATATTTTCGTAATCAGGGAAGTGATATTGATAACATATTAAAAGCCAAAATTTTAAAATGACCAGAATAGATCGAGGATTAAATTCATAGATATTAAAATGGTAAATTCTGAAAGAGGGGTTCGACCTGCACTATATATTAAATGTTTCTCAGAATGGTTTTATGATTGCATTCACTCGCAGTGTCACTAGTGTGTGTTAACAGATGATGACGTAATCACGGCGCGTGCCGGTTAACCGATGACCGAGCCGACGACCAACGACCGAGGCCGACCGTGACGGCCGTTCGTGACGACCGATCGTGACGCGCGATAATCTTTTTTTTTCGTACTCTCTGTAAAGAAGTTTCACTTCATTTAGTTAATTCGGTTAGTTAAAAAAATTAAGTTTAATATTATGTCAAAAATTGTTTAATCAATTAATTTACAATTTTAAATTAATTTAATTTACTCGATAATAATTCGACGGTTTTTGTTAATTTGTATAGGAAAATAAAAAATGACAATAAAAATAAAAATTTAAAAGAATAAGATAAGTGATCTTTTGATTAAAACAAAAAATTAATAAGTAGTAAAATATGAAATTCAAAGATTTCAGAATTTGGATTTATTACAAAATGTTTTTTATACATTTGTTTAGTTGTTCTTGTAAAATACATAATAATAATTAATAATTATAATATTAGGCAATAATACTTTTTAATGCAAGACAAAATTATGACTGTTAGCCACAGATTTTTACCATACCATTTTTGAGAAACATTGATGGACTGTCCAATATTATCTTAATAATTAGATACCAAATTAATTACCTACTACATAGACATACTACATGCAATTTTAGCTTAAAATTCAAATTGAATTACAGCATAAAACGTACATATTTTTTAAATATTTGAGTCAACTCATAATATGGTTTTTGTGGAACCTTGGTGACGTAGCCCCCTATTCTCTTCCCTTAATCCAGGCCCGGTGTTCAGGGTATGCATCCACGTACCCTGCACATACCTTAAATACCCCCTGCGCACGCTTATGACCTACTAAAATATCAATAATCAATATAAATAGTTGACGGGACTCAATTAGAACAAATAAACGAATATACTGAACTTAAATTACTAATCTCTTAATATTTTCTTACCTGTTTTTCCAAGTGTAGCCGCAATACCTTTCCACACGATGGATTTGAATGCTATGTCGCTGTACTTTTCATGTCCAATTTTATACAGCACTTCAAATGATTTAATAGTTTCCACCAATGATATGTCTTCAAGTTCAGTGAACGACATATTTATTCGTATTTTGCTCGTTCGAAATTTTCGGTAAAAAATCACTTCTGACCAAATGCACTGCTGAAGATCGATTGAGGTCGTGGGCTGCTTGTAATGCTTCCGGTCGGCCTCGACAACTTCCGTGACTGACGCAATGACGACGGTAGTCGATGGTGGCGACATCTGCAGTCGAAAACTTGGAAGCTACCGATTTTACAACCGTCAACGTACACTATCATTTCTGCCACGCGGCATAAAAGTATAACCGTGGGTGGCGTAAAATTTACATTTTACCACTCCTACGCCTCTTTTATTTTGATAGCTCTCTACAAAATCACACGTGTCCCATCCTTAAAAAAGCATGTTAGTTTATTTTAAATATTGTTAAATCATATGTTTCTATATATTATTATTTTTACTTGCAACAAAATAAAACAAGAACTTTTAAAACAAATTTGCAAATTTTCCTTTTTCCGAATCGTAGGACAAAGTTATTTTATTTATATTTGCATGTAAAAATAAACCATTACTAATGAAAAACGATTCAGACAAAATTTGGTAAGACAAATTTGGAAATGTAATTTCTACGATTTTCGTCAAAATTTTACCTTAAAACGCTTATGAAAAAAAAAAACTAATGCAATAAACTCAAATTTTTTTTTTTAAACCACTAACTACAATTTATAATATATCTTGTTTTAATTTTTCAAACATTTTTCTTGAGTCATATAATTTTAATAACAGATACCTATACTAAAAAAATACATATAAAACACGAAAATATCAAATACCTATAAACTAAAACTAAAAACGAATGAATATTTTGAAAATTTTGCTATGTCTTCATGTCTCCAAAAGGACAATATTAGTATTTTTGAAAATTACAGGCCTCCACAATAATTTTTAACCTAATAACAGCAAACACCCAAATGCCATACACTTTGGTATATTTTCTACGTTTTTTCTCAGTTTTTTGTTATTATTTGAAAATTATTAGGAAAACTATACAGAAAATCAAACAATTACTCAATTCTTTAAATTTGACCAAAGAATCTCGTAGAAAATATAAAATCTTGAACATTTTATAAAATGAAATAATCTTGGACTAAATTCATCAAAAATAAGTATTGGATAATTTTCTTCTTTAATACAGGTATTTAATTGCTGTGAATCTAAACATATTGTAATACTTTTATCGGGTTTTTCAATTATTACTACCTACATCTGTTATCAATCTATCGGTTCATCTACATAAGGAATTATACCGTTATCAATTAATTACCTTAACTTGATAATAAACTTATCCCTAACAGTTTTTAGATCTGTTCTATATAGTACAGGTTTAGGTTCAGCATTATCTTTTATTTGTATATTATATGAGTCTGCGAATTTGCCTATACTCTGAAATACATCTATGTTATTTTTATAAAAGTCTCTTTTTCGGTCACTATTGTATCAATTTTTTAAACTATTCCAAGTTTTACTAACAACAAGACCTAATATTGGAACATATTTATTTTGTTTAACTATTAAGATTTCATTTTCATTTTGTATTTTATTCTTTATTATATATTTTATTGGACATACGCCTACTAACTATATTCTAAAACCTCTATACGATTTAACATTTACTTAATTGGCCCTAGTTTTGGTTTTAGTTTTAATCTACAACAACTTTCCTATAGTATTATGTTAACATCACTTCTTGAATCTAATTTAAATACAATTACCTTATTTAAAACATTTATTTTCTAAGTCCATATTCTATGAGCTCTTAACTGGTATATTTTTTTAATATCTAATTGAAACTCATCTACCCTAGACTCAGTTTCATAATGTGTTTCATATATTTTTTTGTTCTGTTCTTTCTTTCTGAATTTGCGTCCTGATGATTCATTATTTTATATATATTACACATTTTACCAAAGATATTATTTTGGTGTATGCTTCTTTCCACACTTTTAAATTCTTGGTGGAGCGTAGAAGCTTATAGTTTTACAAAGATTTCTATCTGCACCCAACTTTTCTACCAGAAGGCTTGCTCATATTCTTAAGTGTAGAATCTTTTCTGATAGGAAATCGGTGTGGGAGGTACTTAAAAGAAATCATTTTTCAATTTTCTCAAGAATTTTCTCATCAAATGTGAAAAACCGAAATAAAAAATTGGGAATATGTATGAACTATATTACTAAAATATTGCGATTTTTTTCCTCTGCACAACTTTTCTACCAGCAAGTTTGCTCCAACTTATTACCTATATCATTGTTGTGGATGATTGAATCCTTCTCTGAAACGAAACGTATTAGTATAAATAACATTTGCAATTTGATCATATATCATAATATATACATATCTACCTTCCTACAGACCTACGAAAAATATATTTTATATTAAACTATGTATGGTGATTTTTTTATCATGAACCAGCAATTATCTCAGAGGATTTTATGTAAGTTTGATTTCTGTTTTTCTAATCATTATGGAATCGTTTAAGCTTTATTTTAAAACCATTTTTAATTTTTCGCCCCTACTTCATATACCTTAAATAAGTACATACTTTTGATTTTAAAATAGGAACCTCTACTTTTGAACACAGATTTGAATATATAATATTTTTCTAGAAATGTTGATATGCATAAAACTAATATCAGATTTATCTTTTATGAGTTATAATAGTTTAAAGTTTAAACTGGAGGAGTAGGAAAGGGTAATTATTTGTCTATTTAAGATATATCGAATTGGGGTGTAAAATTAAAAATCGTTTTAACAATAAGAAAAAACAGAAATCAAATTTACTTAAAATCCTCTGAGACAATTGCTGGTTCATGATACAAAAATCTTTCTGTATTGAGTGTATACGATGATACTTTTTTTATAATGTAAACTCACGAATTGACAATATCCATACATAGAGATTTGGATTTAATTGTACAATCCTATGTTGTTGTAGGAAGTATTAATGAAGATGGCAGTTCTATGCAGTATTTCACTATCACTCACATTTGCATCTATCATTTCATCTAATACTCAAAGCATTACCTCTACTCTACACTGTTTCATGTACTAAACTTGAATATTCACTTCAAGCACAATAAATATGACATTTTTTCAAATATAATTTTTTTGATATTTCTAATCAGAAGGAAAGAAGATAATTTGTATGTATTCAAAGATTATGTAAAGACTTACAAGTCTCATAATTATTAAATTTTAAATTTATTATTTTTGAATTAACTACTTGATATTATTTTTATTAGTAACTATAATAAAAATAGACATAGTTATCCAAAAGTTCTGAATTTATAATTATTTTTTATTCAGAAAAATGTACATTTGTTTTATCAAACTTTGCAACTGTAAATCACTAAGTTATACATTATGTCATAGGGTCATGAAGGTTATTTCTGAATTTATTTGTAAAGTATTTAATCGTTTTCGATCCTTTGGAACATTAAATTAAACAACAAATTAAATACTCATAATTCCATTCCTATTCAAAGCATAAAAATGTTTAATTATTATTATATTAATTGTGTACTCTTATTATGTTACACACATTACACATAATTCGATTACTGTATCATTTTAAAATTGGTTATTATTATATGTACCTATCTACCTATCTTAACTATCTACCTATTGTTTATTCATACCTAATTACAGTACCCTTGCCAGAAAGTTTTTCGAGAAGGGGAAAATTCATTTTTTTCTCTAGCTTTTATAGAGTTTTACCATATCTTTAACTATTTTCTTATGATGCCACCGTTCATGAGAAAAAATTCGAAGGGAGGGGCACTTGCTTCCAGTGCTCCTCTAGCTAAAGCGCTACCTAATTAGGTAATATATCAAATGTTCAACTATAAAAATATGGAAAACCAACAATTAACAACTACAATTTGATAACTATTTATTTATAATAAATTAATAAAGTAAAACAAAATTATAAAAATGGTTAATACTCGTAAATAAATAAAAGAAATAAATATATAAATAAAAAATGCATACATAAAAATAAAATAAATAAATGAATCAATGCGTTACCTGGAGTATTATGATAAGTGTATAAGACCGGTTTTAAATTAAAAATTCATCAGGTATATCACAGTCCAAATGTAAAACGTGACTGCAATGAATTTTTAATTCGAAACCGGTCGTGTATACACTTATCATAATACTCCAGGTAACGCATTGATTCATTTATTTATTTAATTTTTATATGTACATTTTGTATTTGTATATTTATTTACTTTATCTATTAATTTAGTTGGATTAACATTTTTTAACAAAATTGTAAAACTTAATACAATAGTTATAACAAATAAAGTTTATAGTTAATAAATAGTAGTCATTATTATAGTTGAAACAACAATAATTATCTTACTTATGATTAAATTAAACAAAAAATAGTTAAAATAACTAATTTTTGTTTCCGTGTTGATGTAGGTTAACCATTACTATCATGATTACTATAATACCTTAACTGATAAATACCTAATAGTGTATATCTCCTTTCGATCATAATCCAGAGAAATTTCCAGTTTCTTTGGGTGTTCTTTTTGGAACTAGTTTTTTCCAAACATCGCATGCACATTAATATTAATATTGATAATTAACTAATCGAACTTTTTTCACGATAAAAACTTTATTAAATAACATAGATACAAATTTAAAAAAAATAAAAATATGATTATGATAAGTTAACAATTATTTTGGTAAAGTGGTTTAAGTAATACAAAACGGTTTTAATACAAAATCAGTTATAAGTATTTGCATATAAACACCCTCATTTTTGTTTTAATACACTTTTAATTATTTCCAAAGATTCTAATTACACCGTAAATTATATTCGTATGTGCGTTAAGTTGGTCCCCACCTCACTTTAACGTATCAACTTCAAACTGGTAACATTATTTCGCAACTGATTTTCAACTATTTACAACCATGTTTTTGAAATATGCAACTAATTATTTTCGCTGAAAAATCTATTTTATTGAGGGGGCTCAGCCCCTTCCCCCATATCGGCCTACGTTAAATGTAAAAGTCTAGCAAAACTTGATTATAATTATTTTATCATTAAATCACAATTATCTATTAGACATATAAACATTTGACATAATCAAAGATAAAAATGCCCTGCCAAAAAATGTTAATTTTGATTCTGTTTCTGCTGATAATGGCCAAGCTATTGTTAACCATTTTGCATCTTATTTTTCTAAGGCCTATTATAATTCTACTCATACTAATTATCTAAATAATAAAATTAATGATGGTATAAAAAATTCAATATTTTCGTTTAATAAACTAACATTTACTGAAATCGAAGTATTAAAAGTAATCTCCAGGCTATCCCTTATATCAAGTTATGGACTTGTTGATATACCATTAATTTTTTAAACATTTATATTAACACCGATTTTAACTAATATTTTTAATACCTCTCTTAATAAAGGTATTTTCCCTAAATTATGGAAAACTTTTTTTGTTTCCCCAGTCTTTAAGAAAGTTGACCCCTTATTAATTCCAACAAAGATAGGCCTATACTATCTTTAAAATATCAGCTATTTTAAAACTATTATCAATTTAATTTTTTTTTAAATTAACTAGCTACTGTTCTCCATACTTATTTAAAAATCGACATGGTTTTATATCTAAATGTTCAACATGCACTAATTTATCTTTATTTAAAAACTTAATACTTAATTTATTTGACTCTTATGCACAAACAGATATCTGGCTGTTTTCAAATGGTTAAATATCACAATTTTGGCTCTTTCAAGTTAGTGTTCCCGTTGGTGTTCCCCAAGGTTAGGTTAGGTTATTTATAAATGAAATGCTTAATGTTATCAAAAAGTCTGAAATTTTTTATATAATAAATGATCTTGCTAATTTGTTATTGTTTGCAGGTAATAGTTGTACCTATGATTTTAACTAGTTAAGTTTGTATTTTATTTAAGTTTTGTTAAGTTAATATTGTGTACCACATCTATAATTAGCAATTATAGTTTTTTTACTGTTGTATATTAATCATTTTGTAAAAGGACACCTCTGTTTAAAATTAAAAATAAATAAATAAATTGGTAATAACTCAACCCTAGGTACCTAACTTCAAAAAATAATCTAGTAAATACAGAAACAAACCTTCATTTATATATTTTTTATTTCTTAATAGTACAATATATATAGTATCTAATATTTATAATATAAATTAACATAATACATATATAATAATAATACACGTGCCCAGTCAATAATGTGTACTACACTTATACCTTTAAATATTTCTATTCTTGGAAACATGAAAAATAAGTGCAACCATGACAGCATTGAATACTACTATGACTTTTATTATCTATGAAAATTCTATATACATAGAAATGTTCAAGATACTATATACTAGATAATATTTGTTCCTCTCTTTCAGATACAAGATACTAGATACTAAATACTGTATCTAAGATACAAGATACATAAATAATGAAAAACTTATAGTATGTTCTCCTAAAAGGTCAGGTTTTAACTTTGTTTTTAATAAAATAAAAAAACAAATATATTACACATATTGTGAAAAAAAATACTCCGTTATTATCAACAAAATATGAATGTCAAAAATGTTATATAATCATAAAAATGTAACCATTGTAAATTGTAATGTAATTGTAAACAACATTAGAATGGAAAAATAAACGAATCATGATTTCTATTAAGTATATATAATCTTTACAAAAAAAAATCTATGTATATATATATATATATAAATATATAATATGTAATGACACAGTATTAAAAATTTAATATTTTTGTAGAATGATCAATATTTGTCATGAAACATTTATTGTATTATTAATATATGCTTTTTTTTTTACCTTTTAAAAATCATTTATGTTTTTAATTTGTTGGGGTGTCCCAAAAAATGTAAGGGCCCTGGACAAGTTGCCTTTATGTCCCTCCTTAAATATGGCACTGTGTACGAATAGAATAACAATATTGTAGGTACAATTTGAAGTCAATAGTTTTATTATAAAAAAAATGGGGTGCTGGTGATAGAATCTTTTTATAAAAAATATTGTACTATAAATAAATTTGTTTACAGTAACAGCAATACTAACCTAATATACAATACAGTTTATATTAATTTCATAAACATACCTAATTTATTTTATTCAAGTAAACCATACAACTTTATATTTTTATATGTTTAAATAAAAGATACAAAACTATTTTCTGTATTTTCTAATTTTTACTTTTTTTTTTTAAGAAAATGGATTTATTTTTAATTAATAATAATTTATATAATTATAAATAAAATACATTTTTACTACAGGAGTATAGTTTAAAACTTATGACAAATGAAAATATATACAATGTATTAAGTAAAATTATTACTATTTTATAAGTAAATAAGTGTTCTGTTGTTTAATAAAACCAATAAAAATACATACCTATTATCAGGTGTTTTATAAGAAACACACACTAAGGAATATATTTTTTTTTCATTTTATCAACATTATGATCAGGCTCTAAGTATTGTTTTTAACATTAGTACGATAATAATGTGGTGCTTGGAAGTTTACTAATATTTTTTATAAGATATTTTTTAATTATATTTAATAATAATTTATAGTTATAGTTACAATGAGCATGATTTGGAAAGAGCACTGGAAGAAATGGCGAGGTGCTTCTAAAAATATCAGCTGATTATCAACTGGAAAAGTTATGATATGCCAAAAATCAGACAGAATCCGGAGAATTAATATCCAAACAGGGAATCAGCTGCTCGAACAAGTGGAATATTTTAGATNCAAAGGTACTAGAGAGGCAATCTTAAGCTTAAGATTATTGATAGAAAAACAAATAGAATTTAATAAAGACACATTTATAGCATTTATAGATTTGGAAATAGCTTTTGATAACGTACCATGGAAAGGTCTATTCTATACTTTAGAAGGAATAGGAGCTGACTACAAAGATAGATAGGAGCTGACTACAAAGATAGAAGGATAATATATAATTTATACAAAGACCAATCAGCTATAATAAAAGTTACAGACAAAACAGAGACGGCGATAATTAGGAGAATCCACTCTCGCCAGCTTTATTTAATATTGACGTCGAACAGCCTATCAAAGAAATTAGAGAAACACTTCTCAGAAATAAAATAGGCATAAAAGTAGGTGAAGAAATAATATCCTTCTAAAAATTTGCTGATGATATTGCACTCCTAGCTAACAATGAGCATGATTTGGAAAGAGCACTGGAAGAAATAACGAGGTGCTTCCAAAAATATCAGCTGATTATCAACTGGCAAAAAACTAAAGTTATGATGTGCCAAAAATCAGACAGAATCCGGAGAATTAATATCCANCAGAAATAAAATAGGCATAAAAGTGGGTGGAGAAATAATATCCTTCTTAAGATTCGCTGACGATATTGCACTCCTAGCTAGCAATGAGCACGATTTGTAAAGAGCACTGGAAGAAATGGCGAGGTGCTTCCAAAAATATCAGCTGATTATTAACTGGCAAAAAACTAAAGTTATAATGTGCCAAAAATCAGACAGAATCCGGAGAATTAATATCCAAACATGGAATCAGCTGCTCGAACAAGTGGAACATTTTAGATACCTAGGCAGTCTAATCAACCAAGATGGAAGATGTGTCATGGAAATAAGATCCAGAATCGCACAGGGCGAAGTCAGTATTTATGAATAAGAAAAATTTGTTATGCTCCTATAGCTTGAGTATTAGAGTGAGGAAACGCTTCATTAAAGTGTATGTATGGAGTTTGGCACTATATGGCTGCGAAACATGGATTCTGAATAAGGCAGAACAACGAACACTCGAAAGCTTTGAAATGTGGTGTCGGGAAAGGATGCTGAGAGTGAGTTGGATAGAACATCGTACCAACGAAAGCATACTCAGTGAAATAGATGAAAGCAGAGAGATTCTCAAAACCATCAGAGCAAGACGATGGAACATGATTGGGCACATATTGAGGCACNCATTATATGGCTGCGAAACATGGATTCTGAATAAGGCAGAACAACGAACACTCGAAAGCTTTGAAATGTGGTGTTGGAGAAGGATGCTGAGAGTGAGTTGGATAGAACACCGTACCAACGAAAGCATACTCAGTGAAATAGATAAAAGCAGAGAGACTCTCAAAACCATCAGAGCAAGACGATGGAACATGATTGGGCACATATTGAGGCACGAAAATGAGCTAATCTACAGAATAATAGAAGGGAAAATGGAAGGCAAAAGAGGCCAAGGGCTTCCAAGAACTTCATTTTTCAAACAAATGATTTTCGATGCTAGACTATCAAGCTACGCCGAACTGAAGAGGTTAGCTGGGAACAGGGAAGAGTGGAGAGCGCATGTCCAACTGCAAAACCAACCTTAAGGGTTGAATACCAAGAGAGAGAGAGANAGGGAAAATGGAAGGCAAAAGGGGCCAAGGGCGTCCAAGAACTTTATTTGTCAAACAAATGATTTCCGATGCTAGACTATCAAGCTACGCCGAACTAAAGAGGTTAGCTGGGAACAGAGAAGAGTGGAGAGCGCATGTCCAACTGCAAAACCAACCTTAAGGGTTGAATACCAAGAAAGAGAGAGAATAATAATTTAAAGGATACAATAAATGATACATAAGTGCAAGTGAAAGTAGAATAATGGAATACACGTAGATAATATACTAATGAATATAAATACTTAATGTATCTATTGTCTACTTATAACATTATTAAACATCTTACTACACTGCCCAACCGCATATCTCCATAGATAATACATTTTATATTTATTACCTATGATCTCATTGTATTATAATTATAATAATAAATATAGTGTTATCATATTTTTGTACAAATTATGCCCTGCCTTTCATGCTGAACCAGTAACCATTGACAAGTGTATCATCCAATTATTTTATAGTATGTGGATCAACTGAGAAAATACAATATTTTCTATAAAAAAATAAAAATGAATTATGTATCTTTATATTTTTAGAATAGAACCCAAACAAGCCATTAAAATACCTTTAGTCCTTCTTTTGTTTAAGGTCTTCCTCTACAGAAAACCGAGAAGGAACATATTTATTGATATTTTCTGGGTATGGTTCCTCTTGTGTTTTATGTTCCGATAAGATATTAATTTCATCATTTAATTTTCCCAATGTACTTGAAACTCCAATTAATTCCCTATAAATATGGTTCATATATAATAATAATAATAACAAAAATTATTTTGTATTATATTTATTAAAATGCATATACCCTGTAGGAATTTTGCCAGTGTTCCAATCTTTTAAAACAGCATAAAAAATCTGTTGTGATTTCTTAGAATTTTTTATATAATTTATTTGAAGTGGCCAATTTGATGTATCTAAATGTAATTTTGGTAATAGTTTGTCTCTAGGAACTAATGTGCTGTATTTAGAAAAACCGCATGTTTTATTAGTAATATGTCCCACAAAAACAGTATTCTTTTCATTTTTTTTGGTAATGTAAACTACCTTACCAGTGCGTTGACAATCTTTTGTATTTGGGTTCTGTAATTAATATTATTTTAATGTTTAATATCACACAATTTAAAGTGAAGAAATTATTGAATACTTACCAACCATTTTGATTTCTTAAATATTTCCACAACAACTTTATCACCATCCAAAGCTCGATTTCTTAACTTAATACTACTTATTAAAACATCCTTAAGGTTATCCTACAAAATATCATATTATAGTTAAAAATATTACATACAAAATCAAATATTTCTCTTTACTGGTAAAGTGACATATGCATCAGACATAAATTTCTCATTTATATGTAAGATTCCTTCAAAAAGTTCATTATTTGCCAAACTCTTTTCCACATCATTGAATGATATATATTTGGTATAATAGCTGTCACTAATATTCAGCATTTTACTTTTATTATTATTAATTGTTTGTTCCTTTTTTTTTTGTGACTTTTTATTGCAATTTTTTTTTTTCAGTAATTCACCATTTTCCTGACTGTTACTACTTGATGCACATTTTTCTTGCACGTTCTCCATGACTTCATTGGGATCACTAGAAAAATAAAATATATATATTATATATAAACTATAAACTATGTTAACTATCATGACAGGTGTCTTTTTTTGATTATTTATTTAATTTAATTTTTATTAAAATACAGTTATGAAATTAAATTGATTTTAAGTTACAACTTCTGATGGGTAATTTGTATATTATGATGATTATTTTGGATTCAATGAGATGGAATTATATCACAATAAATATTTAAACAATTCAATTTTCTATACAAAATATTTAAGTGTTTTAAAGATGGAAAAATTCCAAGTATAACATTTTCATATGATTTGTTTTTATTTTAGAATAGTTTGTACTTCTAGATGGTACAGCAGTTAATAAAAATATAAAATTTCTATATTAATATAAAAAAAAATATTATTATTTAATTATGGAATTCAGTAAGTTAACTAGGAAGAAGGGCTATTTATACAATTTATAGGTATGAAATATTAAATTTATAGTATACTTATAATATATAGACTAAGAATTTTAGGTATGTTATTTCAATCTTATGTATTTGGCTAATTGGATCTTCTGCTCAAATAAAATTGTTGCAAATTGTTACTATCCACTGCCTGTATCAATCAGTATAATATTCTACATAAGGCTTTCACATTTTTCATTATCATATCCTCCTATCTTATATGTGATTTTCTAAGTGGTCTTTTCCCAATATACATTTTTGCGCTATGTGTATGAATGGGTTTTAATTACAACAAGCCTGTCCAATCCACTAAAATCTTTTACTATTAATTATTTCCAGTATATTCATCTTTTAGAAGAATTTTTAAATTATAATTTTTCCTAAGTGTCCACTCACCACTCTTTGCAAAATAATCCTTAGGTCAGTATGACCTTTTCCTTTCATATATTGAATTCAATTTATTATTTATTATTTTTTTGTAACTATTGCACAATATTTGTATGCAAGGTTAGGTCATGTAACATAGATTACAGTCATGCAACTATACCTGTAACCACTCATATGTAATTTAACTGATTCTATTTGTTTGTAATAAATTTAATCTCTTATTCTCATTTAAAAATACATGAAAATATTGTATAATAAAAAGAGAGCCCCACAGCAACCTTTGGAAAACAATTGAAAGCCTAGTCATATTTATTATCCCTGTTTTGAGTTTTGATAGTTTTGATAGTCCAACAAATTTTTTTGATTAAAACAAAGGCTCACTCACATAATAATTATCTCTAATTATGAATAGAATAAGATATTTTATCTGTATAAAAAGGTATTATCACCAACTAAATATATTATTCCTAATTTCCTACAAGTAAATTATTGCATAACATTTAATATTATATATTATCAATTTTAAAACCAAACCTTTTTTACATAATGACAATATCTTTATGTGATAATTACTGATATAGTATTATTTAATAACCTTCCCTTTCCTACCAAATTAAAAAAAAATTATTTTGGCATTGTTAATTAATAATAAAATAATAAAGTAAAAACAAATATATTGCATGATTTAGTATTATAATAAAGCATTATTGAGAAAATTTTAAATTTGCTACAGTGTTATAATTTTGAAGTAAATTATTTTTTTATCTAGATAAAATGTATTATATTGAAATCAAAATGATACACAATTTTCATTTCCCATTTCGTCTTACTATAATATTTTACCACAAATATTGTACCAAAGATATCAGCTGATATTTTATTTATAGGTGTTTTTAGATTCATTTAAAAAACTCAACTATAGATACCAAATGGAAAATATTATATTAATTTCAGTGTGTAAAATTATTTAATTTTGTTGCTATTTATTACTTTTTAGATTCAAGTTCGTGCTGTTCTTGCTGTTTGAGCTGTTCAAGAAATCGTCGTACCGAAGCAGGAAGAGGAACATTTGTTTTCAAATAGGGACCATTAAACTCAAAGTTATTCAATTTTCGTGCGAATTCTTCCAATTGATCCATTGTAAAAGAACGGCAAGCTAGGTTGAATATAAAGTATTAATTGTTATGAGAATATTATTTGTTAAAATAAATTATGGATTTTTGACCAAATTGATAATATCAATCGTTCACCAAAAATAAACATTTTAGACTTACAAATATGACTTATTGATGTACAACAGAATTTTTGAGAACGTTCAATAGTTTAGACAATTATTATATATTATGCTGTTGCTTCTACGTAACAAAAATCATGAAAAATAACAAGATAGGCTAGCAACTGAGTTTTGCTCAGGTATCTATATCACTGAATCCACGGATGTTATGATAAAACGAACACTTACGCACGCGCGTCGTGTCTGGGCGTTGTCTCGGTACGCATGTGCAGTGTGTATTAGTAAATGTAACCCGAAAATTGATCCCAAAGGGACGGGCCAAGTTAAGGGAATAAGATATTATTATTTTTCAGAACTATCCCCACCTTCTCACGCACACACACAGACGCGTAAACTTTAAGTAAATTCGTTTCTCAGGTCGATCGATTTCGTCCTCAGTCTTTTTCTCTCTCCCACTCTCTTGCATGCTGCAGCAGCAGTAGTCTTTTCGTCCTCGTATACTATATACTCTTCGTCTATCCTCCCTCTAACACACCAACCACCCTATCGTACGTCGACCGGGCTTAGTAATATCAGCATCAGCATCAGCATCTTTAATCAATACTGTCACCTTAATCGAAATTCGCATGCGCCGAAACCATCCGAGCCCGCCCTCTGGAACGATCCGGATGGAGTCATCCTTCGTCGCGTCTTGAACATATACGACGCCGCCCATCGTACCGATACGCTTATTTCAGTACTAGCAGCTGAAACTCTTACAATATTGATTTTCTCTTTAAATTGTACGATGTCTAATTAATAATAATATAAAAAGTATTTTATGTATATAGGTGATGTAGTTAGAGTGTGCCCCAATGACGAGATGATCCATCATCTGCATTCAACCAGATTATTAGCGACTACGCAATGTAACAAATCCATGATATACCCTGTAGATCCGGACTTTTGTAGAATTATCATTAAGTTCGAAAAATCGTTTCTACAGTTATCTTACGGATGGAAGTTAACCCCGACTAAGTACAAATGGTACGACATCAATATACTTATCGACAACGAAAACTGCGGACCACCAACTACAACACAAAGACAATCAATTCCTCTTATTCCGTATATTATGCGCTTTTCTTTCTATCATAGGTATGTATAAATATATATTATATGTAATAAATTATACTGTTTTTTTTTTTATGGTGATCAGAATTTTATGTTACAGCAATTTTCTCCAATAAATATACAAAATATAAAATAATATATAATGGAACACATAGATAGATAGATAGATGGAATAATAATTAAAATATATTTTGGTTAAAAAAATTATTGATGCCCATCAAACCGTTAACAATAAATTCCACTTTTTAGTTTAAACAGAGTGAGAGTAGTAGAACACTATGAACTTGTGTGGTGGCACGCATGGTTTGATTAATGTTCCACTACTCTCCACCTGCCTAAACTAAAAAGTGGAATATCTAGTCAACGGTTTGATACAAAACAAACATCAATTCAACACCAACATTTATTTTAACTAATATTCCATTTATCTATGCAATTTTAAATATAGGTTACCACTTGAATTCCAATTTATGTTTTACCTAAAATATATTTTTGGGGCCCATTTTTCTGTTTGTGGATAAACCTAATTTTTATTTTAAGTCCCTGATAATAGCATTCTAGATAGTATATTATTATACTACAGTATACATTTCTTATCATAATAAATTTCGCGTATTGTAATACGATCTTGATGTATGGTGTACCATACATCAAGACGTATAATAAAAAATATTCCTTCACGTCATGTTGAGAGATCTTTCATTTCAAGTGGTAAATTATCTGATAAAAAACATAGGCTTATGACCAATAATAATTTTGTTAGAATTCAATAAATATTTTTTAAAAATCACTAGGTATTTGTATAATGTATTTATTAATTTTTTTTTATTATTATTATTTTATTTCTTATTTTGTTAATTTTTATACGTTGGATGTTTCAATATTTCCATTAATTATAAATTATTTCATAGACTACAATAAATCGAAGTTTATATTTCGTTCGTATGTATAATTCAATTCTACTCAATTATTAAACTATCACCAATAAGTTAATTTTTTTCTTCATCTTCTTAAGCTTTTACGATCCTAGAAGAACTTTTGCTCTCTCTACTACATTCATCTATCTAGCTCTATAAATGCTGTTGGAGAAATGGCAAGCAGAGGGAATAAGATACTATTATATTTCAGAACCACCCTCACCTTCTCATGCACACACAGATGCGCTTTTCTTAACGACTTCGCGTAAACTTTACGTAAATTCGTTTTTCGCGTCGATCGATTCCGTCTTAAGCTACTCTTTCTCTCTATATACATATCTCTCCCGTCGGCCGTTTCCGTCCTAGTCTCTCCTCGTCTATCCTACCCTCTCAAGCATCGACCACCCTCTGGTACGTCGACTGGGTTTAGTGATATCAGCAGCAACAACAGCATCAATATCATAGCCGTCAAAATTCACATGCGCCGCAACCGTCTAAGCCTGCCTCTTGCAACTATCGTATGACACTATCATTCACCGCGTTCCGGAAGTATACGGTGCCACCCGTTGGGGTCCTAACCTAACATTCATTTTGGTACCAGCAACCGAACCGTTTACAATATTAATTTTATCTTTAAATTTACAGTATCTATTTAATTATATTCACGTACCTCAATAACAGTGTACAATCGATATGTTTCCAGTTGTATATATTAGCTTGTATATCTTTTATGTATAAGTGATATAGTTAATGTGTAGTTTCCTTAATAGCGATACATCATCTGTGTTCTACCAGATTATTAGTGACTACAGTGTAACACATCAATGATATACCCTTTAGAACCGAGCTTTTGTAAAATTATCGTTTAGTTCAGAAGCTCGTCTCTTTGGGTATATTATGGATGGAATTTTACCTCGACCAAGCACGACACCGATATACTTACCGACAACAGCATAAGCCGCGGACAGCTGACTACAACATAGAAAAAATTGATTCCTCTTATTCCGTATATTATATATTTTTCTTTTCGTCATAAGTATATATAAGTATAGATTTATGTTTCATAAATTATATGATGATTTGTTATAATGCATTTTTTTTTTCATTTTGATACTTTATACTTTAGTCTATAAATATGTATTAATAAAAACTGTATTCATATATGTAACTATATATATTTAAATTTCGTTATTATGCATGATTTGAATAATGTTGTTTAATATTTCATAGTGTATTCAACAGCAATATTATTATGATAGTTAAATATATAGGTATGATCACAACTTTATGATCTGCAGGCGCAATGGCCGCCACAGGCAGTGAGTCCCATTTTATTTCAATCTAGCTGGTAATAAATATTACTGCCAGCTGAGTTTTCTATCCATGAAAAGCTATGGAATAAAGAGTTTTGACCATACTTATATATTATACCATTACAATAATTATATAGGTTCTTTTTTTTTTCAAAATCATTTTATTGCAAAATATTATGAAAACAACATTTCACCACCTAGTGTATTAACCACATTTGATTATTATTATAGGAGATAAATGTATACAACTTTTTTTTCAGTTTCTTCGGATATAATATCCAAGTTTGTCAAGCTGATATATCTGTAAAAATATCATGTATACATTTTATTTTCGTTCGATACAATAACCAGATACATTTAGACGTATTTGGTTTTAGCACCGAACTGTATTAAAATTTTGATATTCTTTCCAATGAACAAAGAAAAAAATATAGTTTATTTTTTAATAGAACAAGATAAAGAAAATTATGATTTCATATATAACTAATATTACTAGCTAAAATGCTGACCATTTCGGTTTCATTAAACAGTTCTCTTAGTTTTAAATCTGTTCTTCATTCATATTCATTTTTTTCAGAATTCTTTTTAGCACCACCGAAAATACTTAATATATTCCTCACAATTAATGTCAGTTTCTTCTTGCCAGCCTTCGTTGACATTAACGTCCCACATACATATAATACAATAAGTCTGACCAGGGCATTATATAGCCTAATTTTTGTTCTCCTTTTGGTTAATTCATTAAGCATTCTTTCAAAGACGTTTTTTGAAACTCACTAGCTATTTTTGCCTTTTCTGTTATAAGTGACCCATCTTTGCTTCTCATAATTGTTGATCTTGGTATTTTCGGTATGAAATATTTAATAAAATGACCACAGATTTACTTCCTTACATCGATGAAATCATATACATGTGTTGTGTTTTAACTAACTTATTAACTTAAGTTCTGTATTAAAAGAATAATAAACAATATTGACTTATTTTAAAACGTTTATTTAAAAAATTTTATAATATAAATAACAATAATAATATAGATATGAAGCACAATTATTAACAAGTTAACTTCAGCCTTTATAATTAATACTTAAAAATAAAATAAATACACTTTTTATTACTACATTCAAACGAAAAATGTATGTAAAATAAGAATATGTATTATTAACAATATGATTGTGTACTAAGAAAATAAAAAAATATAAACATACAAATATACTTAAATTAGTTTCTAGTTGGTCATTAAATTGGTTTTAAATAAAATAACTAGGTAATGACCTAGTTATTTTATTTAAAACCTAAATCAATTTAAAAAATAAACAAATCATTATTACGGCTTGATTAAGGTTTTACAGTAACACATATGAAAAAAAGTTTTCATGGTGCTTGTTAACTGAGTTTGATATTTTTTGAAAATTCTGAAGAATTTTGAATCAAATAACAAGGAACACAAAAACCTGCATCTTTAATTTCTGAATAAATAATGAACAACAGCTCAAAATAACTTTATTAAAATATGTATATACATTTCTGAATGAACATTTGCAAATGGCCGTTCTTTCACAAAAGTCGTTTGGATCCATCATAATTTGAATCCAAATTTGCCTATAACGCTTTTCACACACAATATCAATATCAATAGTAAATTAATTTATCTTCCAGTTAGCTCGATCGGTTTTAAAAATAAGTAAAAACAAATAATCTTACAATAACTAACCTAATTACATAGGTATATATCATTGTTTATTTTATTATATTAAAATGTTTTAGAATATTTCAAAATAATCAGGGTATTCAATCACATTTTGAGTTATATCATTCACTTCATTTAAAGAAATCCCTCTAGAAATCTTACGAGTGTCGTACCTAAAATGTTAAATCCAAGATGATATAAAACAATTCAATTAAAAATTGTCTATATAATAAACAGAATATTTTCATAATTTTTATTTTCAATATAATGTTTGATAAATAATTAAAAGAAAAAAATTACTTTAATGATTCATTATCTTCTGAATTGTTACCATGCTTTTAAATTATCTCATTTTCTATATTTAAAGGAATCTCACTAATATTATACCTAAAATTAAATACAAATAGTAATTTTTATAAAAATCTATCAATTAGAAAATATAGCATAATAAAATTAAAATATATTAAAATATAATAATTTTATTTATTATTATATATTAAATTAGAAAAATTAATTTTTTTTTTTTAGTAAAAAAAAGTGCAATTGTTAATCGAATCTTAAAAATTGTAACCTGTTACGTACGGTATATATTATTGCCTATTTTTCTAAATATTGTAAATCAGCATTATTGTAATTTGAATAATATTTTAATATTAAATAATGCTAATATAACAGGTATACGCGTGCCTTACGCCAGAAATCATTCGATTGCGTGATCAAAGGCCCATTTTCGAACAACCAACAATAACGCCGCTTTCGATCATGCCACCACATCACGCTATCACGCGAATCCAGAAAACACCATATAAAAGGAGACCTGAAACAGGCCCCAGGCAGACATATCTGCACCTAGATCTTAGAAAAAACTTTCTCGCCGGCTGTAACACCCGTGTATATTATAAGAGTCCATTTACATGGGAACTTCTTTATATAATAGTATTAAATTAACTGTTGAGTGCAATAAAGATAATAACTATCAAACTTGTAGTTGTAACTATTCTTCTTTAAATATAATAATTGTAGAGTCGATCAGTAAAATCAGCACCCAACAAACCAATATTACTAAGTAATTCGTTTTGCTCTTGATTAGTCTCAGGTGTATTCCTTGTATTATCTAAAGAGTTATTACTATTATTAAATCTATAAAATACATTTTTATATTTGGAGTGTAGCGAAGGAACTATTGGTTTTACTATGAGGTGTGTTTTATATTTTTGTATTTTTTTTTTTTTGTGTCTGCGAACAACTTTTCTACCAGAGAACTTGCTCCGAAGTATAGACTATAACACTTTTTTTGTAAGATAATTTTCTCTTGTTGGTGCATTGAGGAGGTTATTTTTCGATTTTCCAATCGGTTCTAGGAATAATCAGAAAAACCCTAAAGAAAAGTACTGGTAAAACAACGAATATTTACAGCGTGCCTCGGCGTTACTGTTTTCATTGTTTTCGTTGTGTTTACAATATAACTTAAATTGAAAATTAACAGCAAAACATATTAATCATATAAAAATGCAAATTTAAATTTCTAACAAGGCCTTAAAGTTTATAAAATTATATGAAAATTAAAGTCCGTTAGAAAATAAAAAATAAATTTAGATATATTTATATAAATAAACGGCACACTCTGCCCTGAAATCTATCAGGCCGACACTGTTATTATTTAAGAGTATAAGACACTATTAGTTTTATTACCTAGATATTAAATCAATTTATGTTTGATAATTAAAATTTAATAATAAAATAATAAAGTAGAAACAAAATTATTAAAATGGTTAATACTCGTAAATAAATATAAAATCAGCAATAAATTATTTAAATTTGGTTTCTCAAATTCAATATAATTAAATTAATACCTACTTTATTTTAGAACATAATTTAATTTATTTACATAAGTACTTATAAGCCTTAATTTAAACATATCAAATTACAATAAATATATTATTTAGAGTTTAGATAATAATACAGAACGTAATATATCTCCAATTATTAGCACAGAGCAAATATTAGACTTAAAAGAACTTGCTACTGAATTACAAGATAATAGTGTTCAAATACTTAATAAAGAAAATATAAAATTACATTTTGATAAATGTAAATGTAAATTCATGTTATTGCATTTTACCGACCACCAGGTTTCAGAAGCACTATTATAGATCTCATAGGAAATGATTCTGATAGTTACAACTCCTAGTTTGATGTACTCCATTACTCTCCCACTACCCGGAATTAAAAGTGAATTATCTCGGCACCGGATTGACGGAAATTAAAGATTTCAATGCCAAAATTTATTTTTATCGAGATGCCATCTATTTATGGAATTTTTAATATAGGTTACTATTTGAAAATAAAAAGTAAGTAATAGTATCATCCCCAAAATATTAGATTATTGTTATTTTGTTAAAATATAAAATATAAAAACTACTTTTGCAGAATCATGCATGGTTGTCGTATATCTTTGTGACTTTTTCTCTTAATTAATTTATGTGTACTATAGTAATCCTTCAATAGGTTATGGGCGAGAAAAGGTGATGATAAGTACGGAGTAACTTGAAAATTCAAGTAAAACACCAACAGAATTTTGGAATCCTTATAAACCAAATTTATCAAACATTCGTGTTTTTGGGTGTGCTGCATTTGCTCATATACCTAAACAACTAAGAAGTAAATTAGATTCCAAATCAAGAAAGAGCGTTATGGTTGGTTTTGCTAAATCTGGTTATAGATTATGGGATCCTAAACCAGAACAATTTTTGTAAGTCGTGATGTAATTTTTGATGAAAACAAAATTCAAGATAATCAAAATATCAGTAAAATATCTGAAGTAAATATAAGAGAAGATGAACCTGAAGAAGAAGAAAACTACAAAGAAGATGAATCTAAAGAAGAAGAAAATGACAGAGAAGATCAGAGAAGATATCACCATGAAGATAGGAAGATAACAAAACTACACGACCTAAAAAAAAAGTAACACAACCAGAAAAATTTAAAGATTATGATATGACAATGTTAGCTTAATCAGCAGAAAATTATGTACAAAATTTACCCAAATATGTTGATGAAGTTCAAGTTCCCCAGATAAAAATTGTTGGAAGAAAGCAATGCAAGAAGAAATGGACGCTTTAATAGAGAATAATACATGGTCACAGGTTCCAAAACCCCAAAATAAACGGATCATAAATAATAAATGGATATTCAAGTTAAAGTTGGATGAAGAAGGAAATCCAGTAAGGTACAAAGCTAGATTAGTAGCTAAAGGATATACATAAATAAAAGGTTTTGATTATACTGATACCTGATCACCTGTAGTTAATATCATTACAATACGAACCCTACTTGTAATAATAAATCAAAGGAGTCTACACCTAATTCAGATTGATATGACTACAGCTTTACTCAATGGTATTTTAGAGGAAGATCTTTACATGAAACAACTTGATGGTTTTGACCAAGAAAATGGTTTGGTTTACAAACTATATAAATCACTCTATGGTCTTAAACAATCTTCAAATTGTTGGAATAAACATTTTAATAATTTCATATGTCAACAAGGTTTAACAAAAAGCAAATCCGATCAATATGATGTGCTGGTGGCTGGTAATTCAATGAAGAAAGTAAACAATTTAAGAAAACTACTTAGTGACGAATTCAAGCTAACAGATCAAGGGGATGCAAGATCTTTCTTAGGAATTAAAATTGAACGACATAATAATATTTTAAAAATGAATCAAGCAAAATATCTTGAAAACCTACTACATAATTTTGGTATGAATAAATGTAAACCAATATTAACACCAATGGAGAAGAAATTAAAATTTGGAGAAAAAGGATCAACAAGTAAATCATATTGTAAACTTGTGGGATGTACAGCAGTCAATTATTTTAGCCGACATTAATCTAAAGCTAATGAAGATCATTGTAATCACTTTAAAAGAGTATTAAGATATTAAAAGGGTACTGTTTCTTTTGGAATGACCTACATTAAGAACAATAACATACATCCACTTCAGGGTTTTGTTGATGCTGATTTCGCCAACGATATTAATGACCGAAAATCTACTTCTGGACATCTTTATCAAGTTTTTGGTTCCACAGTCATTTGGTCTACTATAAAGCAATAAACTGTAGCCTTGTCATCGACTGAAGCAGAATATATAGCTTTGGCATCTGCAATTCAAGAAAGAATGTGGCTGAAAGAACTTCTTGTAGAGATGGGAATTATCAAAGACAAAGATTACATATTATTGCATGAAGATAATCAATCTTGCATCAAAATAGCTAATGAACCAAAGAAACATCAACGATTAAAACATCTGGATACCAAATATAATTTTATTCATGAAGCAATCTCAACAAATCAAATTAAATTAGAATATGTTCAAATAGATCATCAACTGGCAGATATTCTAACAAAACCACTACCTGCCATTCTATTTTCAAAATTAAGAAAAGCGATTGGATTAGTAGAACAGTTAATTTTATTTTAATATGTTTGTATATTTTTTTTTAGATTTGAGATTAAGAGGAAGTGTTGTTACCTATATTCTTATTAATAATAATATTATTCGTACTAATAACCTCAAAATGTATATTATGACTATTGTTCTTTTGTTAAAATATAAAAACTACTTTTGCAGAATCATGCATGGTTATAGTGTCTTTGTAACTTTCTCTCAGTTAATTTATGTGTACTATAGTTATCCTACAATAAGTACCTTATAATGTGTTTTTAGGACTTTTACAGATATTGGAATATTTCTTTTATATTTTTGGGGATTATGGGGCTTACATCGGTTTGGGGGCTGATGTGAAATACACATCTTGTATACCCGGTAATTGTGGCACTGTTGTGTGCTCAATATACGACACTTATAATGCGTGGTTCGTGGTTCGTTTTTTTATTCGATGGCAACTTTTCCAGGCGTATAGACAATTGTCATAATCAATGGCAAATTGTTCGAAGGTTAACGGCGTAGGTTAGCACTCCACAATGCACTATATGATTCATTACAGATTGTGTATAACACTTTGGTGGGACACTATAGAAAGTCAGCGCTTCTAAATGTGTAGCAAAATCAGAGACTGGTATCTTCTGTTTTTATAGTTCCAGTACTTAATTATTTATTAAGAAGTTTTGGTTTCGGTTCAGGTTTTGGAAAATTATTTTAAGAGTTTAAGTTAGGGTTCTAGATAAAACCAGTATTAAATGATTCCAAAAATTTAAATAATTTTATTTATTCTTTAGTATCTTCAGATAAAATGTTTTATATAGGAACATTAAATTATTAAAAAAGTAGTAATCAAACATGAAAAGAAGGACATACTTCGAACGCAAGTTAACCTAAATAACCAATAAACAAAAAAAAGGGAGATCTTAATTTATTTGATGTATCGACTGAAATTAAAGCAATTGCATAGTAAAATGTATTAGTAATAAATACCAAGTAAATTTGGTAATTTTGTTTTTATTTTATTATTGATTAACTTCATAGTTCATTTAGGTATAATAATTTAATCAAATATATAAACAATAGAACTACAAACTTCACAAAAAATCCCCCTTCTTTTGAAAATGCTGGTATACGTTATATATAAACTAAAATGTAACTTTAATAAATTTTATATAGGTAAGACAAATAGAAACTTTAAAATAAGATATAAAGAACACATTTATGAAATAAAGTTTAAAAAGACTGCCCCTAATTCAAATTTCACTAAACATGTTTTAGAAAATAACCGTAATATAATGTTTGATATTAATATAGATTTAAAAATATTAAATACCCAAAATAAAATATACATTAATTCAGTTTTAGAATAATTACACATACACAATGAAATAAAGACAAATAATTTTAATAATATTTTAAATGTTCAAACCGATTTTAAAAATAATATCTTATATCCATACATTTTAGATAATAAATAATAATTTCTTAACATATCTATGTCGTATAATAACTAATTTTAAATAGTCTCTACTATTAAAATAAATTATTTCTACATTCTATGTGAAACGACCAATTTGTATGATTTTTTTTTCTTTATATTTTTTCATTTAATTTATTATATTCAATTGCATTTTACATTTCGACTGTTATATACCTGATAATGAATTTGTTATTCGAAACCGGTCGTATAATACTCCCGGGGGCACATTGATTCATTTATTTTATTATACAAAATGTTTGTTATGGCTTCCCTTTCAGGGAGCCAATATCAATCGAGAACATGTTTCATTCCCACACAACCGGGGTAATGAAACCGTACGTAAAATGTTTATGTATTTCATGTATACATGAGTATTATACCAGATCTTTGGCCTATCGTCGTCTGGTCGACGGAAACATGCACTATGGGCCACTCGGTTCTCTGAAAAAATAAGCCCGAATCTCTAACAGACGAAATTGCAGATCAACTTCATACGGCCGCTGCACAATTTCAGCCAGTTTTAGCGAACATATTTAAGTGTCATTAATCATGTAGTTTAGAGGATACCACATCTGCATCTACTGTCTTAGTCTAATTATTAAGCAAGATGTAAAAACTATGCTTACACACACTACACAAACGAAGTAAGACTAGCTTAATTTAGATTTTAGAGTAAAAAACCTATTTTAAAATGTATAGATGAATATATAGGAGGGGATCTCATTAAGTTTTTGTATTATTCTAAATATACAGCTATATATAAAAAGCACAAAAATTTTTTTTTTTGTTTTGTTAATGTATTAAATAATTTTTAATTATTTAATTTAATTTTAAATTTAAAAATCTTTTATGAGTTTCTTTCCAAAACTATTGGTTTCTCTTTATTTCATAATAAGTACTTTTAATCTAAAATCAAAATTAAGCCAGTTTTACTTAGTCTGCGTAAGCTTTGTTTTATGTTGTTTGGTAGTTGGACTGAGATAGTAGATGAGAGTTTGGGGTCCTCTTTATATAATTAATATTATTATATCTATGAATAAGTATAGATATATAACTCAAATAATAAACATTTATATTTCAATATTAAATTCCATACTAAATTATAAGATTTTATATATTTATGTAGTTATTTACTAACTATTATAGTTATTTGCTACAGGAAAAATTTATTTGGAATTAATATTAAAAAAAAAATAATCAAGTATATTTTATATATATATATATATATATATATATTTCTTTATTAATATATGACTGATTTGAAATCATATTCATGTTTTAACGGAAATATCAAGACAAATTATACAAATAAAAGAAACAAAAAGGAACCTTAAATTCTATAACTGTATACACTTTGATTTACATTATGTACACACAATTATATTGTTTGTGAAAAACAAAAAGAACGAGTATAAAAATGAGAGGGCTCAATACAAAATTAATTAGATTTATTATTTTTTAAACTAATTTTATAATATTTATAATACATTTTGTACATGTTTATTATATTAATATAATACTAATGTATATAATCACAGCATATGTCAATCATATATAACAATGATGAACCTATTGTAATAAGGATACCTATTATTTGTTGTTTTTGAAATTAACATATGTACAACTTGAACTACATAAACCATTAAAACAATATTATGAGCTAAAATGTTAACATAATAACCAAATTATTATTGTAATCATAATGTGTTATAAAAATTACAAATTTAATTTGTAAATCAATAGATTCTTTTAACAATAACACAAATAATTTTTTATTAAATGGATAAAAAAGTAATTTCATTAATTTAAATATTTAAAAATTTACCAACAATTTAATTGTAACTACCACATGATTGCATTATCATTGATAACTATGAATTATAAAACACCCTTTTTGTGAATGTAATTAAAAATATATAAAGGACCAAAAAAAAAAAAAAATTTTTAATGTTTTAGAGTGAATGACAATGTTTGGAGAATATTATGGGCAAAATTATACTACTAGGGCACTTTAACAATAAATTTAAATTAATTATTATATAAAGTATTTGTCAGTTTTTAAGGGTCTAATATGTTAACATTACAAATGTAATTAAGAATAATTTTGATACACAGTAATACAATTCTTAAACTACTATATTGGCAATGCTTTCATTTTGTTTACAAAAATAAAAACATAATACAATTTGTACAATGTACAATATATTCTAATAGTTTATCTAGTATAGCAGTAAGAAAGAAGGATAAAAGTAAAATAATATAGTAATTGATTTTGTCAAAACTCAGTAAAAATTCAACACAATTATACACATTTTAAAAACTATAACATTTTAACAAACATACTTAAGTTTTGATTTTAAATGTATAACTAAATCAAAGAATGATTCATTGCAATAGTTTAAGGATCATACAAAAAAGTATACATGTATAAATATTGTGTGTGTATGTTTGAGTATTAAAACAGAACAAATTATTTGACCTGAGTGAAAGCTTATCACTTAGTTTTTATCCTTTTGTATGATTATGATTATTTCAATAGTTTCACCAAGTTAATATTTAACTGCTTGGAAATAATTAAACTATATATTCAACTATTTTGAAAAAAATATTTTATGAGTAATAAATAAATGCAACAGTACCTATTTTTTTTACATATTATATTATCTGGTTTGAAAATAATCAAATTTAAATTTAAACAGTTCTTGGTACAAAATATTTACTTAGGTCAAACTTTTTTATTATTGGGTCTATTTTGATTAAATATGTTTACCTGTATAATAATCATTTATTTATTATTTGTCAATTTTAACATTAATAATTCAATATATAATATATAGGATCTTGCCATTTAACTTAATTATGATTATTTAATACAACATTAAGCAAATCTGTCATTTTAATTAAATTCTAAACGAATAAAAATTAATTAATTGTTTATAAAATAATATACTGTAAACTAGTGGAGGATCATGTTATAAGAGCAGCTGAAATTATTTTCAGTTGAATTTATAAATTATGTGTAAATTAATTAAAGCATTTTAATGAAATTTTTTTTATATAAACTATAATTTAAAAACAGAAATATTCATGCGGCTGTATTAGGTAATAACACCTTCAAACTGAACAGCCAGTCTCAACTCTCAATCAGTCTCAATGAAATTATTTGAATATAGACAATGAAGTATTAAAATTCACAATGCATCTGAGAAGAATAAATCTATTTAGGAACATTTATTAACTGTGATGAAATAAATATTTTAATTAATTTTACTTTGATGATGTTACTATTACATAATAATGATAGATAAAATAATAAGTTATAAAATTTAAAGGAAAATTGTAATGTTAAAGATAAACAACTATGAAAAATAATGGACACATACAGTAAATTATATTTTTGTAACAACATTGTGAAAATAGATGTAAAATTCTCTGAAAATATAATATTTATCATATTTATATTTTCTTTTAATTAAATGACTAATAATAATTTGAGATTTTAATTTATATTTTAAATAAATTAAAATAATATATTTATTAATAATTTAAAATCAATAATTCAAATGCATGTCCTCCAAATTAATATAACTATTACAATTTAAGAGATTATTATGCATAATTATATGTACTCTCTTAATTATTTTCAAATGCAAAAAAGAAATAGAATTTTATTACAACTCCACTGAAATAAAAATGGAACTAATAATGCAATATGGTGGTTTTTATTAACAGTATTGAATATTCTGGTAAGAATGACTTGTCAGGTTACTATTTAGGTAGGTTTGTATATTATAGATGGTTTTAATACAAATGTCATCAACATTTATACTTCTAAAAAAAATTATGGCAACATATTTTTAAAGACATATTACATTGAAACTTTGAAATTCTTCTGTTATATTGAACATATTATGATAGATAAAAAAACAGCAAATATAAATAACTGGTTTAATGAATAACTTTATTTGTATTATTATTATTTTTTATATAATTGTTGGTTAGGAACAAATTTGAATTTTAAGTTGCACACACCTGTATACTACATCTATAAAACTTTTTTTTTATACAATTTCCAGAATTATTGAAACCATATAACATAACCATAAAAAAAATTGAAATATTATATATCTTAAATTAAAATGTTAGGAAAATAATTTTGAAATAATTGGTCATATAATGAGAAAATAGCTATAAATTTGTACAAAAATAATATTTAATGTTATTGAAATGTTTTCTAATTTAAAAATGTTATTTATAATCTTTTGTTACCAATCATTATTGTTTATTTTGATATCAATTGTTAAAATTATATCCCAATTTATTGCTTTCACTTTATAGGACTAGACTTATTAGGTTCTAATAATATATTTTATAAAAACTATTAATAATAGGTACCTTTAATAATTTATAAAAAAAACTAAACTTTCCATACAATTCAAATTCAAATGTTAAAATTGTTTGTATTAAACCTATTTATTGTATCTTAAAGGAATACTTTAAAGCCTTACTTAATAATTAATTTGTTAAGGTATACATATTTTTATAAAATAAGTATGAGGTACTGCTCAACATTTTAAACTTTCAAAGTACACATATATTATGTCATATTTTAAGTAGATTCAAGTAAATTATGAGCATTTTATTTCATTGCAATAAAATTTTGAAAAACAATAATTGTTCATGTACTAACCATGGAAACAAAAAATATAAATGTAACTGATAACCTAATAAGGGTTTTTTTTATAAATTAATTTTTAAATCAAATAAATGTATACCTTTAATATAACTTTTAGGAGACATGTTCAAGGTTTAGCAGTTTAAATGTATATTAACAAATAACATACATCATTAATAGGTACCCTCTATTACAGACCATCAACACTCATACGAATAATGTTGAATAGTCTGAGAGTTAAAGACATCATTTTGCTCAGGTTGTAAATGACAAACAACTGTTTGTCCATCAAGCACAGCAATTGTTCTGGCAGTTTGTTCTTTAAGTTGTTGCCTAAATGCTGCATTGAGAGCAGTATGGAAATTATGAGTTTCTGGATTTTGTGTAGGAGCCATAATAAGGGGTCTATGGTCCCCATAACTTTTTGAAGACTGTCGACTCATATCACTGTTTCGTCGGCCATCTTCATCACTCATATCTGACACAAGAGCAGCCTGCTCTCGCTCTCTCTCACGCTCTCGTTCTATCTCTTCATACACTGGATCATCTAGACCAGCAGAAGCAGATATTCCACCCATTATTTCAGAATATGTGTGATTCCATGGACTGGTAGCTCGTACACCACTTACTCCAACATACTTTTTTGCTGAACAATTATTTTCAACAAAACCATCACCAATGGTATTGCATCGAAGTGAACACAAGTTAGGTGCACCACGATTATTTTGTACATATGTAGGTTTATTTAAAGTAAAACAGTTATCTTGGATATTTGGTTTACTCTAAACAAAACAAAAATAATGATAAATATTTTTAGTATATCAAATAAATGAAATAATATTATTATACATAGGTATATTTTACATACCTGAGAAGACTGTTTATGAAGGGTACCACTACTAAAAACGGTAGATGTTTTTGGCAATTTGGTTCGTGTGTAACTTTTTTGACAAGAACGAGAATATGGTAACGTTGCACCACAAATGCCAGACTTTTGATCTTCATTGGGTATTGAAGAATCCAAATTAGATAGATCAATTTCATTTTGAATATCTATAACTTTTGTCACAGCATGCCTTTCATGAGGTTGGTGGAATGTCTATAAATAAAAGAAAACCATTAAATACAAATATGATAAAAAAATTAATTAACAATTAGTTATGATTCATAAAAAAAAAAAACTTACATTCATTCTATGAGATGACAAAGAACGGGGTGTCGAGGATTCAGCTATACTGCCTTGACTATTTTGACCAACTGATGTACCATAAAAACTAGTTCGCTGGTTTTTATAATTCAAATTAATTTCTGGTGTAGAGTTAATTAAGCAACATTGCCACGGTAAAAACGAAATTATTGTTAACTCCGAAAAAACCTTATATACCTATAATTTGATATAATTATGTTTATTATATATATTATTACTATATTGATTTTACTAACCGAATTATTTTTAATGCAATAAAGCACAATTATTAACAATCCCTGAGAACAATTAACTGCTGAAAATATATACAACATAAATGTGGAATATGATGTCATATAAATAAATGCTAAACTCCATGTCAGTGTTATGAAAAGAAACAATAAAAAAGCACTTTTCAACCACATCCTAAAAAAATAATTTATTTAAATAAAAAATTGTTATTTATAAGTATTCATAATGTAACTTACTTAAGAGATGTGATTTTAACATTTTCTTTACATTTCACAGACATCATAGTAGAATTACTTTTGATAATATATAATGATAGACATAAAAAGACTAGATTTACCTATAAAAACAGAATAATACATAAAATTATTTATTAGTTTCAAACTTGTATTATTGTAGTATGAACTATTTGTTTATAATTTTATTTTTATTAATCATTTGTAAATATTCCTACAATTCTAGAATAGAAAAATACTTTAATTATTTGACATTACATTTACTTTTTAATGGCACGGTTCCTCATCATTATCATTATTAATAAGGTGTTTATTGTCTATTAAAAGTTTTAATATCTATAGAAAATAAGTTAAATAATCATTTAAATAATAATTTAAAAATAACTTATGTGGGTCAAATATAAAATCTATGTGCTAAAACCCGATTTTTTAAGAGACATTAAAAAAAAAATTGTTTTATCACAGAAGTTTTATCAGTTAAAATTGTTTGCCAAAATCACATAGGGGGTTTTATAAATAATTCAGAGTAACACATAAGAGATTTTGTTTTTTTTATTAATTCCTTCATAAAGATAGCACATAGGAGATATTATCATATGATAGCTTATTTCTTTTTCTGAATCCAATGATACCATAACATCATTGAACATTTTACATTATTATTATTATAATTATTAAATATATTAATATTATTATTAAATAAATTTTATTAGTAAATAGACAAGTCGATTACTTACTGAAACTACAAAAATTATGCTATAAAGAGTAATAGCATTTGCTTGCAAACAATATGAATTATTTGTTTCATAAAGATGCCGATCCATAAAGAAAGCTGCAATAACAACTGTTAATGGAACTCCATAACCAACTAAATAATATAAGCGCATTTGTAATTTTTCAGAATCAAATGCTTCAATTAATGTAGCATATAAATGAAACCCTAAAAATAAAATATACAATATAAAAATATTAATTAATGAATGAAAAACAGTAACTGAATATCAACATAAAAATATACATATATAAATAAGAGATAAACAATAATTGATACTTAATAACTTAATAGAAAAAAAATAATCTTTTTAAAATTCAAGACCTTAAGAGATTTTAAAATTACTGTTATTTAACAAAAAAAATATTAATAATGTATAATTTAAGATTTAGAGCTATTAAGGAATGTATTGGTTTTACAGTGATGTTTATTTTAAATACAGTGTACAAAATTTCTATCAGAAATCTTGCTTCAGTGTATCAAGTATAGAATGTTTTCTGAAATTAAATATTATCTTGGTGGTACTTTAGGGAGGACATTTATTTGATTTTCCAAAGTTCTCATAATAATTAGGAAAAACCAGATATAAAATGAATATTCTTACACTTAAAATTGAACAGAAAACATATATTTGTCTTTTCTAGGCATAAGTAAAATGTTTAACATTTTACTAATTTTTGAGCTATTTAAAAATATTTTAATTTTAGTAGTTTTTTATATGTAATTTTATTTGGTAGGTACTCTATGTATATAATTTTTAAGACTAAACAGAAATAATTAAAATTTTGACAGAAAGTTCATAATAAGTCACTTTTTGATCAAAAAATCTAGTTTAAATAAGTATTTTTTTTTATATAAAAATTTTAATAACAAATTTTAACATTTCAAAATTTGTATAACAAAACTTTATTTCGTTAATATTATGATTGCTGCATATATATTATGAACATAAATTAAATAATTTAACTATCCTATCTTCCCAACATTCCACCTACAACAATGGTACATCCATCCCAGAATCGGCATTTTTTAACTGTTAAATATATGAATTTTAAAAATACTAAGTTATAAATTTTTTTTATTTTTTGTATGACAGTATCCCAGTACTAATATATCAACATTACTGACTACTATTATACATAATATGTAATAAATACAAATTTAAAATATGTGCATAATAATTTTCCTTGAACAACATTATTAATTTTATAACAAATATTTCTATATTCAAGACATTACAGTTTGCTCTTTATGAATAATTATTATTCACAATACACTTCTATAAAAATACATTATTGATTTTTTAAATGTTAATTTTAATGTCATAGAAAACATTTGTTTAATTAGGTATCAAATTATCATTTATATTTTTGATATACAAATTGTACACACCTTCAATTAGTGTCCAAGTAAATGAACACAATAATAAAACATGTAAAATAGCTGCTATTATTGAACAAATTAGTAAAATATTTTCTTGTGTTATTCCAAACATGAAAAAGCATTCAACCAAGAAAAGACAGAAAAACACATTTTTCAAAATAACTGTTCGATTTGACTGTAAAAACAATATTATATTATTTAACTTAACTGTCATTTGAATAATATTTATTAAACAAATTATTTATAAATTATAAATATATTTACTTTAACTGTTAGTTGAAGAGTTATAGCAGCCAAAAGAAAACAAATTCCAGAAAATATACAACTAATATACATAACAATATTATTTGATGCAATACTTAATGGTTCACTGCCTGAATTTTTTAGGTCCATTAAAATAGCAAAATTTGTTAAATGATTGCATTGACATAATGTATGGGTTTGATTTGAATAAATTACTGAACAACCTTCTTCAGACCATCCACTGAAAAAAAAAAAAATTACAAATTATTAAATACTATTTGTTTATTTAAAAAGTAATAAAATAATGAATTTTAATTAAAATAGTATAAAATAAATTAAGTATTAAGTATTATTTAGTAAAATAAATATTATAACATAATTTGTAACAAAAAGGTATTTTATACAATAAACTGTATTAATTTCATTTTTAATTATATAAAATATAAACAAATTACTTACTTTTCAGTATAATCCCAAAAAACACAAGTAGGATTACTAACATTGTCAATTTGAAGGTGTTGAAAGCATAAAGTTACTGGCTGATGTAACTGAATATGCTTTCCTTTACCCAGAGATGCAGATACAATTTTACTATTTATTATGCGTACACCACTTTTCGACTGAGGCTGCAATATATTTTCTAGACTATCAAATGCTATATAAACAAGTCGTATGAATCCTGCTTCACTATTCTCAAGCAGTGCTGTTCTATGTAATTGCAACCAAGTGTTTTTCATAATAAACCCATTATTGTTATTATTGTTACTATTAAAAATATAAGAATTTGGAAAAACTTCAGTATCAACATTATGTGTGGATATAACTCTTACACTCAATACTAAAAAAAAAAAAATATAAATATTTTATTATATAAGAATTCAGTGTATAAAAATAATACAAATTTCAAAATACTTACAAATATTTTGATCACTATGAGTGATTGTCTTTTCTTTCATCATAATATCAGCAAGTAAAAATGAGTTTTCTTCCAAACCAATTAATAAATTTGTTGCTACACGCATTTGTTCAGTAAATGTAAGATCCTTCCATGAGGGATATTGGGAAGCATTAAGTAAATTGCTACCAATCCGTACTACACATTGTAATAAATCAGTAACCATAGCCTCTTGTTGTTGCTTATCAGGAAATGTAATCATGTCTTCTTCCATTTTTTGGGCAACATCTCTCAATATTTTTGTGGTTGTCATCATATCACCACCATATAACGATTTACTGTCAGTTACCTAAAATTCATAATTAATTATTAGTTCAATATTTAAATGGTGAATAGTTGAATGAATAATTGTTAATATGCAATACTGGTAATACTGGTAAGAATATTAATTTTTAGTCTGGAAGAAACAAAAATATACTTCTAGGAATACTAAATGTGACAATTAAATAACCAGACTGGTACTACTATATATTATAATGATCACCAATTATTACATTAGAAAGATTATCACTTTCAAAATACTCTCCTCCTTGATCCCTACAATGCTCCAAATGAATTGTCTAATAGTTCAAAGCAATGCTGGAAATCCATTTCTGTTAATTCAATGAGAATCTCTGTGGCTAATGCTTTGACTACTTCAACAATGTCAAATCTTGCCTACTTTACCACTGATTTGACCTTAGGGAATATAAAGAAGTCATATGGGACTAGGCTGGGTGAGTATGGTGGGTAGTTTAACATAGTGATACAATATTTCACAAAAAAAATGTTCACACACAATATCTATCAATTCTTTTTATTCTGGAGTGATAAGTTTTGTTACCATTTTTCACAAACTTTGTACATATTGACACATTCATAGAAAATCTGACAAACCTTTTAAGGTTGACAAATAGAAGATTTCAGCTGCATATTATCTTTGATTGTTTCACATCCCTTATCAAACCTTTAAACCACTTAATAATTTGTGTGTGAGACTAACATTCATGTTATACACTACTTTTAGCATGGCATGTAGCAGTTTTCCCCAGTCTCAAAAGAAACTTGAGGTTAACTTATGGCTCCATCTGAGTACTTTTCATTTTTGTCTGAAAAGATACTTGTACAAGGACTTACATAGAGGATTGCTACAATAATACTAAGTAACCATCAAGCTCAGGATGGGGATTGATTATATTCAAACTTCACAAAATTAAACGAATGTCTACAATTCATATGATAGGTTTGTAATAATCAATTTTTATTATAATTACAATTAGGAAATACTATTTACCTGGGATAAATCATTTGCAATGCTAATAATTGAATCTCCTTCAAGAAGTCGAGCTTCTAAACTTGATAACCATACTGACCGACACTCTGAAAGGTCTGGTGTAGGAGGTTCTCTATATGTTTTTCCATTATCATAAGTCTCGCACCGCCATCTATAAAATACAAATAAATAAATACATAAGTAGTACATTTTATTATTTGTATTATTTTATTAAATACTTATAATATTTTTACCTGGCAACACCAGCAGCTCCTCCAGGACATGCTTGCACAGCTTCTTCACCTGATTTAGTCCAATTCCAAAAAAGACTTCTGGATGTTTCAGGAGTACATAACAATGATAATCTATCATTCATGCCTTCAGAATCAATAATAGTTAACTGTGGTGGTAAATCACTAGTCGATGATGTCCATTCAGTAGTTATTGCACCTGCTAAATTTAAAAAAATACATACATAAATATATTAATATTTAGAAATAACTCAACACATAATAAATAAGTTAATAATAATAATTCATTATAAGAAATTATTAAAAGGACAAATTTTTTTTATTAAAAACTATAAACTTTTATAAAAAAATCATTAACATATTTTAACTATGCATTTAAGTCTAGTGAGATCTAAAGTAATCATTAAAATATTCATTATTAAATATTTTTAGACTTTAAGCAAAACAAGGAAAGTATTGATTTTACAGTGATGTACAATTTTTAGATCAGAAATCTTGCTCTAATATATCAAGTGTAGCATCTTTTTTGAAAGGAAATTTCACCTTCAAACCAATATTTTTTGATTTTCTAAGCAGTTTTTATAATAACTGGGAATAATCAGAAAAAACTACAAAATTTACAAAATGTATAATTTTCAATTACATTTTTGGTGTGATGCAGTTTTACCATATTTGCAGAGACTTGAAATATAACAAAAATATTATATTTTCCTTTTCTAGGGGTAGTAAAATTTTCAACATTTTTTAGCCATTTTTGAGCTATTTATAAACATTTTAATTTGAGTTTTTTACATAATTTTTATTTAGTAGATTAGTATCTACTATGTGGATAAAATTGTTAGACCAAATAAAAATGCTTAAAAATTTAACAGATGAGATTCATTTAGTCTTGCTTTGTGGACAAAAAAAAAAAAAAATAAAATAAAAAATCGAGTATAATATAGAATTTTCTTATAATAATTCTAATACCAATTTTGACAATGATTGTTGTGTACAAATATCAATTAAATGCCTCTCTAATCCTACATTATCACATTTTTGGTGATTTTAAATTACCACCAGACTTATAACATAAATTTATGCCTTCGAAGGTACTAACTGAAAAAAATGTAAATAGTTCTTGAGGTAGGTTATAATTTTGAAAAATTTGGATAAATCTTCAAAAATATTTTAGAAACCATTGGCTCTTTTGCCAGAACATTATAGTTCTCCATACTATGTCGCTTTGTTCATATATATGAAAACATTCATCTAAAAAATATTTATCAGTGTGATTTTGCTTCTGTATGTGTACAAATCAATGTTTTTCTTATAAATTGAAATTGTAATTATAATTTATATTTATGATACTGATGTTAAATGTATGCAGAGTAAAACAATTGCATTTTTTAATATTTTTAATATTAAATAAACCTATATAAATTGGTATTTCAGATCTCATCTGACCATGTATGATATATACCTAATTTTATTAGGTTTGATGAAGAAATACAAATGTATATCTAAAACTAAAACCAATTTTAAGATTTTTTTTGTTTAGTTAAACTTATTTAAAAATATGAAATAATTCTAATCTAAAAATTAAAAATACATTTGTATTTTAAAGACAGAGAAATAGCAATTTAGTATGGTCAGGGACACAAAAATAGAAGAAAAGTGTTGAGGAAGCCCAATAAAAATATGGTTAGATACAAAGAAAGAATTAAATTTTTTTTAAATTTATAATCAAATTATTTCCCATAAATACATAAAAATGTATAATACATTGTCAATTTAATAAAACTCACTTGATTGTAAATTTTTCTCATGATCAATCTTTGTGTAGTTTTCTTTATAATTATTATTATAACTATTATCAATAGAAACTTCTGGTGTAGCTGGTGTACTTGTACTTGTGGTAGTTACTGAAACTGATACTGGCTCTTCTTCAACACCAGATCCAACAAAATCATCTAGCTGCGGAGATGACAAAATTGGAGGAATTGAAGTTGTAGGTTTAAGAGTTAGTAATTTATCTGCATTCCAAACACTGGGCTGTGATGTTATTAACCATGGTGGATTTGGTCTTAATGTTGTAGTTAATAAAGAAGCTAAAATATTGAAATAAAAATTGAAAAATTAAAAAGTAATTTAAATCTCTTTATACTAAAATAGGTACCAGGAACACAATGGTATTGAGCCTCTAGATATTTCATAGTACCAGGACATGGATCAGAAAATAAACTTGTGTTTGCTTGTATACTGCAGTTTCTTTTTTCATTACACCTAAAGTAATATATACAAATTATGTTAAATCAAATTTAAAAAAACTAAGTTGAATAATATATTCACCTTGCTTGCAATAGAGGTAAGGTGTTTGTAGACATGCAATTAACACTCCAATCTGTATTGCCATGATCATTACAAACTGTAATAGAATATCTGCCATAAATGGCCCTATCCAAATGAATAATTTCACCATCTTTACATTCCAATTTAAGAGGTTTTCCTTCACAGGCATAAACAGTATCATACCGAGAAGTATCTAAAATGTTTAATAAATATGAATAAATAAACAAAATATTGCATTGTTAAAATATTTTAAATTTTAGTGTATATATATATACCTTTAGCTAAGGTGATAGAAAACAAAACAGTCAACAGGAATACAAGTTGTACATTTGCACTTCTCACTCTTGCCATCTCCTATTAAACAGAACAATTATTATTAGTAAGTCATATAATTTTAATAGCAATTTAGATACATTCAGATCCAGTTATTATAGTACCTATCATACTTGGTTATTTAATACCACAATAAACCATAGTAAATACCCATAACAATATCATAAAAATCACATTTTAGAACATAAAAATAAACTAATTTTTAAAAATATAGTACATTAAAACAAATATTTTAAAAAAAACTTGCTCTCACAGAATTCATAAAATTAAAGTTAATTATAATAGTAAGCATTTAAAGTGAACTATAATAAATAATAATATATACTGAATAATAAAAACAATAATATAAAAATATAATAAAATAGTATAATTCAGATAATTAAAAATTTGTTATAATAAACTAAAAGCTTCTGATGGAGGGTTATTTATATCTTTTTATTTTAACGAGTCTACAAAAACACTAAATACAAATTTTAATATACTTGTCAATATAACAAAATAGTCAAATGTTTTCAAATTTTATAAAAATGAGTAATTTTAAATTTAAATTATAGTGAAATATTTAAACTGCAAATTATGTAATAATAATTTTATATAATAAATTTTAATGATAATATGGTAGATACTTTTATATAAATACCTGGTAATACCCATATATATATATAGTAGATACCTACCTACTACTTTTTATTTATTGTAGAAAAAACTCAATAAAAATGCTATTATTGGGAGAACACTGATAGCTTGTTAAACTCATATAACTTGTTTGATACAAACTAGTTAATGAATAGTTTTAATTCTTTTCTCATTATTATTATTATTTTTTTTTTTTTACAATCAATATAATTTTCAGTGTTTCAAAATGTATAATATTTTGCTAACAGACTTTACATAATAAGATAAATGTTAATACAAATTCATAAATAACTATTTTAAGAACACATTAGTTTCATACATAGTGATCTACTTATGTACTAGCAATTTTCTTAAAGGTTTTAAGAGAATTTAATTTGCTGTTTTATCAAACATTATTGAATGGTTTAAAATTTATTATAATATTTGTTTTCATTTTTTACACCTACTCCTTATACTTGAAATGATTATAGACTATGGATTTAGCAACCTCCTCCCTCTTTAAACACCTATTCAAATAGAGAACAGATTTCTAAAAATTTAAAAACACACAATTCCAAATATGATTTTAATTGGATTTACCATTTTAATTTATAAATTAGTACAGTTAAAAGTTTTGACTTGAGGATTAGGGAAGGGTGTTAGGAATCAATTTATGATTTTAAAATGAATATGAAATGTATTCTCTCCCTATGGCTCTAATCTAAATATTCAACTGGTATAATTGTATAACACTTATAACTCATGAACAGTAAATCTGATATTAATGTTAAACATACCAAAATGTTTAAAGATATAATATCTATTCGAATCTATGTTTAAAAAGGCGAACAATTTTAATTGAAAATTAAAAGTAAATTTAACTCATTCAATGTATAATGGAATTGGGATAATAAATTAAAAATTGTTTTAAAATGAAGCTTAAACAATTTCTTTCAGAAAATTGCTGGTTCATGATAAGTGAATCCTGATTATACAAATGTTATTCACAACATGTGTTTTCTCAAGTGTACAATAAGAATGTAAAAAGAAAAAAGTTTGATGAATTTCAATTGGAAATTATGGGAAAAAACTTCAAATAGTTGGGTTTTTTTTAGTAACTCTAAAAAAAGAATGCTTAGAAATTAATGTTTTCGAAATGTTTTTTACTTCAAAAATGTGTGGTTTTTAATACTTTATGTATCAGTAAAATCAAAACTTTCTTTTAAAGATTTTGTACATAAATCAAATTCTAATGTTTGTGTATAGAGGTAAGACTATACTTTCCGTAGCAAAGTTTATATTTATTATTGAAGCACAAATTTCTTTACACCAGTACCAGTTTTGGGCCCTCGTAATATAGGTCATTCTGTGATTTTGTTTAAATTTTGATAAAAATTGTAAAATATAATATAATATCTGAATATTGTGATTACCTGTACATCATTAAAACTACAAGTTTAATAACATAAATATTATTAAAGACAGACATGAAACAACACATTAATATCATTATTACTATACAAATTTATTTACAAGAAGAAAGATGACATTAAACATACAAGGTTTAATAAATACCTAAGTAGATACCTTTATAAACTATTATGTCAAACTATGTAAGCACTTTTTACCCAGCAAAAATAGTTCCAAACATTAAATTGCTAAGTTAAGAATTTACTGAAAATTGACAACAAATGTAAATGTTTTCTTAAAATTTAATTTTTTTTTAACTTAAATTTTAAGCTAATTTTTTTTTAACTTAGCTTTTTTATACGGAATTATAACGAATTGTTTTTGGTGTGATATCAGCTGTTTTTTTACAAAAAAAAAAAGTAGCAATGTTATTTGACTTCATTAAACCTGAAGATGAAGTTTAAATTCAAAACCGTTCATTAAATATAAACCTAATAACAGAAGGTATCCCGATTGGGAGACATTTATATTTTACATTGCCGCAACGAGAGATTTTCATCCAATATGAAAAATCCAACTTGACCGTACTACACAATTTTTGGTTGTAATTTTTAATCCATCTAATCAATCTGTTTGGGAGTTCCCCTGTTCCCATCTGCACAATATTTCTGATTAATTGATACCTTAGATGACCTTATATATCCAGCCGTTTGGCCTGTTTTGCGCCACTATTGTCGCGCTGGATAAAAATATTATAGCATCCAGATTTATATTGGCCTTTAAGGCATCAAAAATACAATTTTAATAGGAATACATTTTCTCATAAAATTAAAGTTATACCTAGCAATTTTCAAAAATGAATGTTGTAGGTAATTGTAACTAAATTAAAAATATAAATAATGTATTAGTTTTTTTTTGAAACTATTCTTCTCTTTAATTTTGGTATTGGAGTTTAAATTTTAATACAATGTTACATTAATTTTTGGTGTATTATTTAGATAAATCTAGACCAACTTCTTATAGGCAGATTCAGTATATTATATATTGTCACATAAACATAGTAATTTTCTAAATAATTGTTGAATTATGAATTAAATTGTTATTATAAAAATATACTAAAAATAAATTCATAAGTATAAAAAGTGCATACCTACCTATTAGAAATAATCAAAAATGAAACGTCTAGAATTATTTTGTATTCTATACTATTTCATTATGTAAAATTAATAATTGTAGTATTAACGAGAGTATAAATTATAATTACAACACATTCCAACACTTGAAAAAAAAGAAAGTTGTATGTAAGTTGACTAATTTGAAATTGTATGCCTATGATGAACAAGGCTAATAATATTTAACTTGCCATATTTTTCACCTATTTTAATCTTATTATAATATGTACCTATATCATAAAAATATTATACTTATACTTTTAAGTACCTATACCTATATTGATCATTATTTTATAAACATCTTAACAATACTCAGTGATAAAAAAAATTAATAATTGAATATTTTTAAATTTTAAAAGTGACCTTATTTCTACTAAAACTTGACTTTACATTCTGACATTTTTCAAGACATTAATGAACAAATTTTTAAAAACGTTCTATATGGTGGTTAAAATCCCTATTCTCATAAATGTTCTGTTCAAATTCTCAGTAAGTGATAGGTATTACTACATTAAATTGTTGACATTTTTAACTGTTATTAATTCATGACAAATATATTAAATGCAAATTAGACTGTACGGCACTTTATATAATGTTCCAGTAAATTTACTTGAAAAAAATTGTGAATTCTACAAAAAATTTTTAAATAAAATATCTGTAATAAATTATTTAAAATTACCTAAGCATCAAATTATTTCCAGTAAACTTTAAAAAAACAATTTTGTTCACATATTATAATATTTTATTTATAGGCTTGGTGAAAGCATTACCAGTATCATTGTTGAAGCATTGGTGTGTTATATCACAATTTAAAAACGTATACAATATAAATATTACAAAATATATCCCAATCATTAAATAATCATTTCTGTTTCTCTTAAGGCTTTAATAATCTATTTGAAAAATTATTTTAGAAGACAAAAAACTAAAATATGTAGGTATTGTAAGATAATATAATGACAACAATAATTGTTTAAAGGTTTACAAAAAACTGATCAAAATTATGTAAAATATATAAATAATATTTGTTTAAATCAACAGAGATGAAACATTCCTCAAAATAATATAGATATGTATTGGTAAAACTTTATTTTGAAAGCAAACATAAGTGTTATATCAATCAATGGGCAAATTGAAAAAATAACGAGGAATATAATAATATTAGGAATGTAGGTAGTTGGAAAAAATAAGTCAACATATTTGACACTCTAGATAGGTTAAAGGGGCAAGTATTATTACAACTATTTTTTTACCACTTAATTTTAAAAATATTTTAGATAGGTACCCAGAATATAGAGTATAGTATAGATTCTATACTCTGAATTATCATTTTACTAATGCTTGTACCTATTTCACTTTTAGTTTTTAATATTACCAAAAATATTACATTGAATATTTATTTTAACTAAAACTATCATTGAAAAAACTGTTAAGTATAAGATATCATATGCAGTGCTGTGTGCATGGTTTAATTTAAAGGTTATTTCAATTGCTTGGGCTACAAATGATTGAAAATAAAACAATTATGTACATTTAATTTATAACTAGATGATCTGTCCATATCAGTATAGAACGAAAAAAAAATGTAAAAAACAAAAACCGCGTTTTCCGTGACTTCCTGTTCCCATCTATATTCTATTACTGCAATTAAACGTTATTGGCAATACATTTTTAAAAATACATATTTTTTCATTCTTTAGTGGTTGAATTTTAAATAAATTCTTTCTTAGTGGTTGCTCTTAATAATTAACATTTAATACACTTGAAAAAAAACAAAATCTAGTTAAAAATACGAACTATATTAGATCATAACAGGACTTCCTAAAAAAAAATTGATGCACAAATAAAAGAAAGAAAAAGTTTTATTGTAAAACTAATGATGACTTTGTCTCATGACAAAATTATTTACACATTAGCTACAATGGAAGTTATTAAGTTTTTTACAAACTCATTGAAACATATTTCATTAAAACATGAAATGTTGTTTTAAAAATCATTAAAAACCTTAATTGATGACTTATTATAAATATTATTACCTATGTGAAAGTTGAAAAGACAATAATTTGTAATCGTAAGTATAATAAGTACTCATGCCAACCAAGGGAAGTTTTTAAAAGCATTATAATATTTTGACAATTACATGATTGATTAAATTTATGATAAATAAAATTATAACACAAACAATAATTTATATTATTAATTATTCAATTTAGACCAGACTATGAATTTGATAATTAAACTAAACATTTAACCATATTAGACTAATGGATTTTGTTATTTTAATGAGCATTATAGAGATATTTAAGAAATATAAAAACAACTTTAATTAAGCCACCCACTTATTTCTTTGCCTTCATCTAAACTATTTATGGTCAGTCAAATGCTAAGTCAATTCTTCTCATTTGTTGTTCCTGCGCACATTCGAGATGGGACGATCCCTTTGTTTTGTTTAGGATTCCTTATCCTGACAGTAATTTTACACCGGCTGTCGACTTGACATAATCTCATTTTTGGTCACTTTTTACGACTGGTAGAGGTGCTGTAGGAGTATTCTTATCCCCTCCAACAGGGAGAAATATATACACAAGTATTTTAACAAGTATTCAAAATTGATCTGAAAAGGATAATTTAAACTGTGCAAAATTAAACGTGTTTTTTGTAGCAGACTATTTAAAAAAAAACTATAAAGACTAACAGAAAAAGGTTTTAATTTTAAGAGATTTCTTCGATGACATAAAAACATTCTTAACATTAGTGAGTAGTTAGTTTTAATGTAATAGTAGGTACCCAGGTAATTCAAGTACTTAAATACATATATGCCTAAATATTAATAATTAATTAATTTAATAAAGTTTAGAATTTAAAAATTCTGAAAACAAATCTGTTAAAAAAAAAAAAACATTATGGCCATATCAGGAAAATTGCAAACTTGTATTAGTTAAGTATAACTTAACAAGCTCTGTGAAGTAACAAAAATAATGGTTTTATATCGTGTTTTATACAATTGAATTTATCTGAATATTCAAATTAGCTCAGTATTTAGATAAAAGTTGGGTGTTAAATAAATGTTAATAGAAATTCACTACGCATCTACTAGTCTGTTTTATTCAGTATTAGGTACCTATAATAATTAGGTAAAATTGGATATTTGTTATAGGTACAAGGTACCTGTTCGGATACCCGTATAAAATTGTTAACTAAAAATGAATGTGCCTGATTTTAAATCAGTAAACAAGGTGATTTGTTCTTAAAAAATAAATAAATGGTAATATCTCAGAATGTACCTAGGCACTTACTTGACTATTTTCAAGTTTTTCTCTTTGCCAATTTTAAATACTATACAAATCTAGAATAATGCTTATTGACTGACTTATTGTGTACCTAATTGTTTATGTAATTTTTATCATTTTATTCCTATATTTCAAACTTAAAGGTTTAAAATCGTATAGAAACTTGTAGATATTTTCAATAACAATTAATAGAACACTATACTTGCATGTGCTGTCTCAGTTTAATTAATGGGCAATATAGCAAAATCTCCCTGATGCAGACTTCTTAGAACTCGCTTAATTTTGGTTTTAGAGTAAAAGGACCTATTATAAAATTAAAAGAGGACAATATTATGGAGGGCAAGACGAGGCGTTTTTTCTATTATTTTAATTATTATTCAAGATATAACATTCAATACATCATTTATAAATAAAACTAATTCACCATTGTTAAATAAATGTAACATTTCAAAAAATGAATTTCAAAAAAAGAAAGACATTATCTTGTCCTCCAGAATATTGTTCTCTTTCAATTTTATAATAGGTGCTTATACTCTAAGAGACAGTGCATGCGGGTTTAGTGTTTTCTTAATAATTTTAAGGACAAAATTAGTAATTAAAAATTTTAATAGAGTTGTGAATTCCATTGAAAAAGAAGTAGAAAGTTATTATTTTAAATATCTAATTTTGCCGTTAATAGATTCAAATTTTGATGATCCGTTTGTGACATGTAAATCTGTGAAATATAGGTACCTAGTGAGGGATAAATCACTTATGAATAGTTCACCAGATTCCAGAATATAATGATTTTCCCAACGATTACCAAGATTTCTAATAAGATTACCAAACACTTGTACTGTGCTTTCTTTAGTGATTTACCCTCTGGTACCTACTTAAACATAACTTTTATCATTTATGTCCCTGTTTATGTTCACTTATTGTTTATTTGTTTTGCAGTGTCTGAATATTATAAGATATTATCATTAATTATCTATACAAATAGGATACACCTATATGACAACTTCTGATTTTAAATAGGAAAAAACTGTAGACTTAATGATAGCAATCTTAATTGATATATAACACCAACAGATTGATGAATAGGTATTAAAAATGGTAGGTAAAACATACAAATTTTATCAATTTATAGCATTTGTTTTAGATTCTAACATAGGTATAGGTTGCAATTTTAAAAATCAAGTTTCACCACCAAAACAAAATAAGATCATAAGATTTAAGAAATGCATGTGTAGACATCCTAAATTTCCTAAATAAAGCCTTACTGAAAAATCTCTTGAAAAATAATATAGGTTAGTACCTGTCAACTTAAGCGAGAGAACAAGACCCCATTTCTACCATTGTTTATGATTATGACACTAGTCTTGGTCGTAAAACACAATAACGCGCATACAATCAGTGGGAGAAAAAATTGATCGTAAAGATATGAACGGTCACGGTTTTACAAAGTTTAGAAAATATAGTAACCAACCAAGTTGGCCGGTTAATCGACAAAATGTTTTTACCTTTAATGTTTGCTAGAAATATGTGTACCGCGAATCCATGTTCACTCTTGTCCAGCGAAGGGTAGGTAATTGTTCGATTAATACCGTTCAGCGGACAATCGAATCGCACATTGTCTCTGGGCAAAACCTTTAGTCAACTGTTGTACGGCCGTCGTGACTCCGGACTACCGACTTCAGACGTCGAACTCGGGCGATTTCGGTTTGCCGTACGACGCTCACGAAACGATGGTAGCCAAGCGCCCGACATCAGACGGAATGAGCGTCAGCAATCAAGACCATCGCACGAGTGTAGGTACGAATCGCGTTATAAACGCTGGCGCGCCGAGCTCACGCACACAAACACTGATATAGACACCGGCGTTATCGTGTCGGGAGCACAGGTGTCGTCATATGCGCTTACAATCGCGGTACGGTAACTGTCCGCGAAGACTGACTATGAGCTAGATAGCTGCAGGCGACAGTGGTGGCCAGCCTAAACAGCGGTCAGAATACGTCAACCGGCGACGAGTTTCGTAGCACAATACACTACGACGTAAACGTGCGCACCAAGGTCCGAAAGAGTTCGTAAGATATTAATTATTCATTAAAAATAACAACAATGGCTTTAATAATAACCGATTATTATTATTATTGTTATTATCAATTATCAATTATTATTGTACGCGACGATGGCGGTGGTCGTAGCTGATGTGGTCGTTTGGCCGTCGGTAGTAGGTACGAGGAGCGCGACGACGACGGCGGCGATATCATTTATTAATAAAAACGGGACGGGACGAGTCTAGACACTACACCTCCGGACGTTCGCATCGGCCGAAACGCGAACAAAACAATATCATTTTATATCGAGAGACACGCGCACACGCGAAAAAAAAATAATAACAATAAGATAACTACGAAGACGAACGCGGTACCAGCTATGTATTGTTCAGCGCAGTGTACTAACCATACCGTGGAGCCGTGCGCGCGCGTGTGTGTGTCGTCCCGTTGTATATATATAATATAAGATATACATGTGTACATACGATACAATAATAACAGTATATATTATATGCACATATACACACACACATATATATATATATATATACACACACGTATACGCGTATGTTTATATAGTAGTACGACGGACGGTGCGGGTTTTTTGTTCGTGGTGGAAAACGAGTAGTAGTAGTAGTACTATGGGGGAAAAAAAAAATTCCATAGAAGAAAAAAACGCACAAAAAGAATAAACGGGTGGCGGCGATTGACCGGGGCGACGTGTAACCGAAAACGCGGACGGTCGACTGTGCACGGAAACGCGGTTACTTTTCAGTCGCGTCGTACGCGAGTCTCCGGCCGCCGCGACCGAGTATTGCAGACCGCGCCGGCGACTACGAACGGAGCAATGCATACCAGGGGTGACCAAACGGTTACGACCAAAACCGCCAGACGACGTCCGGTCGCATGGCAAAACCTGTACGGATACGGATTATACAGTTGCGCGGCATTACCCTTTGTCGGCGCGTACCGAAGTCTGATCACCCCTGCGCGTCGTGTACCGTACGTCCTCTACAACACTACGGTCTACACGCTCCGGCACCACGAACCGTGCGTTTTCGGTATAGAAGTAATCTGTGGTAATAATATGACCCACCTCCCCCTCCCCCGAACATTGTCGTCGTCAACGTATGCACCACGGCGATGACGCCGCCGTGGCGACGGCCCGCCGCAAATTACTACACCTGTGCCGCCCGGCGCCCGCGGAATTTACCTTTGCTACGACGGCGATCGCTACGTACGCGTTATTAAAACCGTGCGGCGCGCACTACGTATGCACACGATTGTCTGTCGACGAGTGAATAAATTCGTATGATCGCCGCCGCCGTCGTCGGCTGCTCATACCATTCCATTGTTTTACAATAATAAGTTAACAATTACACGCGACGACGACGACGATAATAATAATAATATTATTATTATTATCGTCCCATTATTCTTTTCGTGCCCATTATTATCACCGTCATTATTTTATTGTAACATTGTTATTATCCAGTCGGGTCTGGTGTTATATTGTAACGCGCGCGCAAAACAATAAAAACCTTAACGCGGTGTAGTTGTGATTATAAAATGTATAAATATGATTTATAATCAACAGCAATGATAATATGCATAGCGCAAAATGGGTAGTGTGTGTACCGCGAAAGTGCGCCGATTCGAAATGGCAACGGAATGCTGGCGACGCGTACCGGTTACGTCACCGGTTTAAATCTTGTCCGGGTCACTCTGTATAATATAATAATATTGTTAAAACGCGCGCCGCGGCGGTGGTATTTGTTGTGCCGACATCGCGTCGTCGGTCGCATTGTCTGCGTTTTATTTTGTTTTGTTTTTTTTTTTTTTTTCTAAATAGATCTTCCAAAAACAAAACCGGAACAAAAAAAAATACTGAACACAGACGTGCACTGCATTTTTGTCGTGTCTCGTCGTTATTAAACCGAGTTTATTATTAGGTATTAATGTATGATACAACTCGGGATTGTTATTTTGGGTGTTGCGGTTACAGGGGGGTGGGGAAAGGTTGCGCGAAGTTTTCAGGTGCCTGAAGCGTCTTCATATCAATTCCACGGGGTTAGTGGCTCCGAGGGAGGAGGGAGGGCTGAGACGCTCGAAATACCTATTGTCTGTTTAATAGGTACTTTATTGATATAATTACTGTAATATTTTGGACACTTTTAGTTCGGGAATTATTGTTGTTTTATTGGCGGATTGTAGTAATTAAAATTGGGTTGTCAACGTTATTATACGTCATATTATGATAAAATATTTACATAGACATCGTATATTTTCTTTAATAATATTTGTTTAATATTATACCTATATTCCCAGTTTTTCCCATTTATCGGGAAAACTCCTGATAAAATCAAAAATGTATACATATCTAGTAAAGTTGATATGGCCAAAAAATTTCGGCTAAACCAGCTCGCACATAAGACGGTACAATTTTACTGCAACGTACGAGTAGTAGCGGTTAATCGAGAAAAACGGTTAGGTTAGAGGACGGATAATCGAGGTTCTAATGTATTCTAGAATCGGGTGTACACACTATTAATTTACCCTCTGACTAAATATGTGTATTGTGTACCTATAAAGTACACTATTATTACTTTGTATAGAGTTGGAAGCAGGCCTCATGAATTTAAGGCCCCTATGATCATATACCGCGGTGCACATACATAAATCAAGGCTAGCGGAGGGGTTTTGGCCCCTTAATGGCGCCACTGATGTGTAAGAAAAAATTTTAAATCTAAAAATGGCTCTCTTGTTGCAGTAAAATTCAAGACGTTTTGGCCTACCAATATAATATTAATATATAACTCCAAGTTTCTTATTTGCAGTGCAATGCATAGAGTGTAAACTTCTATTATAATAATAATGTACAGAATGCGAACATGTTTTCACGATCGAGGAAAATGCCTTTTGCCTTTACGATTCTAAGCAGAGCTCGATAAACTACTACACCTGATCGTATACAAACATTGGTAATGGTATAACGTACATAACAAATTGAATGTTTTTTCACATGTAACCTAGAAATCAACTAAAATTTAAACCAACGTATCGATGATGTTGGTTGTCAGTTTTTTAAATTTGTTTTTAAAAAAACTGTTGGTAGTTGGTAATTATTTTAAAATAAACTCCTGGTGGGTGACGAAAAATGTCCATCTTTTAAAATACGGCGTGAATAATTATTTAGAGCGTATTTATACTACAACGAAAACATGTGTTTTCCGAAAGAAATAACATCGCGTCATCTTAGTAAAACTGTTTAATAGCTTTTATATTATGCTAAATACACAATCTAAATTAAAAGCTTTCAAAGGAAATAAAATTATTATTAGTTTATTATTTTTTTTCATTCTTCGTGATAAATATTAATATTATGCATTATTTATTTTAAAAATAATAATCAAGTTTATATTGGTACTTAACGTTTATGCAAGAAGTTTTTTTAATATTATAATAAACGATTTGACGATATTTATTTTGTCGCAGTACATCGCATAACAAGCACGTCGTGCTTAGCGATTGAACATATTTTTTATTCACACTTATTTTTTTTATTGAGTATAAGTCGGTGTATATGTAAATAATACGATACTTACAACATTATTATATAGGTATTCACAGTAGTGCACTTATGGGGGGTTTTCGGGTTCAACCCCCCTAGAGCCAAAAAAAAAAAAAATAAAATAAATATCAATTAGTATTATATTGTAAGTATTTATTGTTTAATTGTTACAATGTTAGTTTCTGAAGTCACTTAGAACTTGAAATAAATAAATACAATTGATAATAATTTAATAATTACAGATATTTTAATTATTTAGTGTTTAATGTTTTGTACTGTTTTGTTAACTATTAAATGTTGAAATATATACCTATTCTGATCGAAAAATATGAATTTACAATCATTTTATACTATTTAACTGTAAACTGTTATGTAGCAATTATATAATAATCGGGTACACACTTCATACAGATAATAGTATTTTTTATCATCGATGAAAAAAAAATATTACGGACTGGCTATGCTGCCAATAAACAAAAATTATTCAATTACCTCTGATGAAGTGATAGATACTGGTTGAATTATCAAATAATAAAAATATGATGCTGAAATGTGTGTTATAAATATTTACCTAAAGAATATTATTAATGTAATAATAATAATTAACTGACACGAACTTTGTAAATAATTTTATTTGTTTTATTAATTTTTAGTACCTATATGTGTTTGATATTTGGAAAAAAATGTCCTATTTTATACCCCCTCTCCGAACCTTCCAGAGCAAAGACTGAATATACACCACTGGGTATCTATTTTTAATTTTGTTTTAACTTGTAATCTGCACCGCCAAATAATATTATTGTTTGGTCAGAAACTGTTGATATGTATAACAATATGATGATTATACAGGAGTGACCGAAAGTTAAGTGTCTGATTTACATTATTTGAAAAAAATAAAACTCTAAAATAAGTTTTGTACTTTTATTAATTCGAAAAAAAAATGGCTAATATATAATTAATAATTAGAAAAAGTAAAAGTCGATACTGCTCAAAGATAGGCCACTGATATATGCGGGTAATTAACATCTTAAGATATATATTGTGATTTCGTTTTTATACTGTATGCAATGATTTATCATTGCAAACGAAAAAGCGATTTGAGTGGAATAGTATAAGTAGTATTAATCGTATTTTTTTTTTTTTGGACCCATTAGTTTTTTTAAATATTATTGAAATACTGTTGAGAATCTAGAAATTGTTTTCAAGGTACCTACGATATGCATAATCTTGAGCCTTCTTATTAATTGAAAAAGTGTTTTCCGAGAAAAAAATCAAAAAATGGATCTAGGAAATTAAGTGTTGAAATGTTCAATAAATTGTTCAAATAAAATTCTATCCAACTTTTGAGGCATTACATCGGATTATTTTTAATAACCGAAAAATTTCTCCGTGAAAAACAAAAAAACAAAACACACATCTTTACTAATGAAATTAATAGCTTCTTCGCTACATTCAGAATCTAAAATAAACATTGGAAAAAGTCGATCATCTATTCAGATTTTTTCCAATCACTTTTTTTAAATATCAAACGTGTATAAAACGTAACTTAGGACTTGTGTATTTATTTTTTTTTTTTTGGAATCACGTAAATTGGACAACTGACTTTTGGCCGTCCCGTGTATAAGGCCGTCAGTTATTGTATAGGTAATAGAGATAGTGTCTGTATCTATAAGAATCTATATTATTATTTCGATATGACGCGCCACGGTCGGGAAATATAATTCAATCGTGTAAGCCGATAAAATCAATAGTTTTTTAATATTGACCACGAGCAATGTACAATAAAGGGATGCGTGTCCGCTGTTTTGCGTTATTTTAACAAAATATAGACTACATCTGGTACCTG